TAATATAAATCAATTGATTTTTAATAAGCGTAAGATATGATTCGTTTATATTGTGGACTAGCTTGTTCAAGTATCGATTAGTTCACTTCACAAAAGAAAAAGACAGATCAGTTTGACTGAAAATGTCCCGCAAATATTGTTTTTTCATAATAATTCTAGTTAAACAACGATAAATTTGTAATCGTTCTTATTTTCTTTTTCCTTTTTTGAGATATCCCGACAGGAAGCGGAAGAACTAGCGAGGAGATTACATGTACCATATGTCGAATGTTCTGCGAAGCATCGAATGAATGTCGATGAAGCATTCCATGACTTAGTGCGCCTAATACGGTTTCTATTAATTATTGTTACCCATGCAAAAAAAAATATGATAAGCTACTCTTTTAATTGATAGACTGATAAAATCACAAAATAAAACACTTTTATATGTACTTATCATCGTCTTTCGTACTAAATATGGATTAATCATAGAGAAAAACTATGAAAGAAGTAGCAGAAGTAGTAATCTGATGGATTTGCGAGTTGTATTGTACAAGCGTTCTATATGACACAGAAATGATTCTCATTTCTCTCACTATAGATCACTAATTGAATTAACAAAAAAAGCTTTGCAAATCTCTTCTCACTATCTATATTTTCTTCGTTAAATATATTAATGATTGTAGTTTAGCTTTAAAACTTTTTTTTCATTAACTCCAAATTTATGACATTGATTAATTATGAATTCAGGAGATTTCGTCAACAAGAACGATATCTATCGGATCCACCTCATTCTAATTTGCCGAAATCAAGCTCAAAACGAAAACGCAATTGTCGTATACAGTAGTAACCATAGTAAACGAAATTAGATAAAGTTATCTTAATTGTATTATCTGTTTTCATCCTTCTCAGGGAACTTCAAATTCTCTCCTTGACTGTGATGTCATTATTAATACTTTTTTTAAAGTTACAATTTCTGATTTTATGATTTCATTGTACTTGTAATTTGTATAAGTGCTTTGCTCCACATCCGTAAATGAACACTACTATTTGTTCATGTAAAAAACTCATTATGCTAATTTTAAAATAATTAATTTATAAGCAAAAATTAGTTAACGAGTTAAATTAATCAAACAAACAATATAAGGAGTGAAGAGTGAAACACCTCAATTCTCATATGATTCGTTCCATCCATCTTTAAACTGAAGACAGCTTGTCATAAATTTCAAGGCAAATTGCAGTTGAAAGGAAGATTTTCTTAGAATATGCTGAAAATGGTAAAGTGTTGCTCATTTTAAAATTAAAGTAATGAAATAAGTAAATAAGACGAAAAAAAACTTAGCGGGATTAATCTGCAACAAATCATTTTCTTAGTAATTTGAGATTGATAAAAAATACGTGTTCAACTCTGAAGCCAATCCTTTTCCACTGCTACTCTTGTTTTAGCTTCTGCCGTTTCATCATAATGAGAAATAAAAGTTTACAAAAATTCGATTCTACTGCTTCCAAAAAAGTACATTCAACACATACTAATGTTTTTGCATAAATATCCAAATTGGCGTGAGTTTCAGTTATTACAAATTGTTCTCACTTATATGTTCATTAAATTATATATCTGATCCAGTATCCTCTTATTATCTATTCTGCTGTATGCTTCAGTCATCTACATAGAAATAAACTTTAACTGATCATAATACTGAACGGAATTTAGGACTTTATTTCCATCAAAAATCCCTTCTAGTTTAGTGTAAATGGTAGTAAATCCATCCAATCCCAAATAGTTGTCGTTTACTTTGTCGTAAAAAGCAGCACTTTTAGTAATGAAACTTTAAGGTTTGATTGATTACTTGAAAAGAGGGAAAAATATTTATGAGCCATACAAATAAGATTTTGCATACTATTTATTATAATCTAATTTTCAAATTAAAATAATGAAATAAGTCGATGAGAGCAAATAATGATTGTAATTCAAGTGAAGATTGTCTTTGTATTTAATATGACATAATTTTGTTCACATACCACATTATGATTAAAATTTTGTTTCAGACTCTTATTTTACATCTGGAAGTAATTAAAAGATGAATACGAGAAAGCCTAAATGTGAAAAAGAAAATTAAGATTGCAATTATTCGCATAAATATGACATTTAATATCATGTGACGTGGACATTGAACTACGACACAAGCACATGAAGTATGAGATGCTGTGAAATATAACTGTTAGCGAGATAGAAAATGATTTCATTAACAGATTTTGTTGATGGACTGACTTGTTAATAAATGTTTAAGTGAATTTCTGATAAATATAGTACCAAAATTTTAAGTTAAGTCATATAAATCTCTTTTTGACATAGTTAAAGTAGTAAATTTATTGCAAGAAAACTTGTTAAAATAAATAGAATTAGCAGTTTTCATATAATTATTATTCTAAATCAGTTGTCAGGATAATAATATTTGGAAATTTTCAAAATGACAGAAAGGATCTTTGGACATAATATAATAGTAAAAGCACAAATAAACATTTTAGAAAAAATAAATTGAGCAGATTTATAATTGTGTGATTGCATATGTATATGAGAGATCAAGCAAACATCTTAGCTGGTGTACCACGGGCTATTTGAATTACGTGATCCGCAACGTTACCTCGTAATGTCCAAGTCAATGAACGTAAAGATATTCCACGTTCACAAATCACTCGTGGTACATTTACGGGTACGACAGTTTTTCGTGTGTTTACCTGAAGTACTTTGATTTTATTCACTAGAATTTTACCAGATTTTTTTCTCAGCAAGACTCTAAATACATACAAAATAATAATAATATTTGAAAATTTAATGGAATATGAAAAACCTCAATCATATGTATAATAATTTTATCCATCATGGTTGAATGCCCTCGTTTCCAATTATCTGGATCATTTCCAAATACTGGCACATATACGTATCTAAAATGTACTGGTCTCAATTTTTAAGAGCAATTTTAGTCTCAAACTTAAATGAAGTGTGACTTTATATAGAGTGTATTTTTTTACATGGAGCTACTAATGAAATTTGGAATTTTATTTGCTTTCCACCTGCATCTTCTTGTCAATCAGATCAGATTTAGTACTACAGAAAATGGCAGCCTCCATCTCGCAACCAATCAACATTCTTCATTATTGTGCTTAAAAATTCCCATAGATGATCTGATTGACAGTTTCCATATGCAGTGCCTATTATCACAGTGAATAATCAAGTTAGCAATAGATTATTACCGTGAATTAGCATTTATTGCATAGTTTCAGTAAGTGACAACTGGTACCAAATGACGCGAAAAGCAAACTTGCTTTTCTCGCAAATGATTTCAAATTCAAATCACTCATCCAACAATATAACTATTCATTATGCATAGATCTGCTACAGTAAAGTTTATTCTGATAAATAACGAAATCAGTTACTTATCAGTTGCTAGTATGGCAGTGTACATGCCACAGTTTCCCTTTCTGTCTTCATTCAGATATGCTGGTAAATCGATCAGCATAACTTCATCCCGAAATTTCTTGAATAATTCTGCATCCAAATATGCTCTTGTATCCTTGTCCAGCATTGGAATGACTAATATCTGGAATCACTTAACTAGAAAATAAGAAGGAAAGCACAAGACATGTGACGACTTCTTTTTATTCGCAAATAGTATTGATGAAAAACAAAGGCATGTTTGGAAATAATAAATGGTAGCAAATAGCACAAGAAAAATTTGTGTAGTAAATTATGTGAGTGCATAAAATTTTTTAAAATCCAAAATCTAAAATTTCGAGAACTGTGGTTAATGAATCCAAATCTTTTATTTTGCTACTTCTTCAGTTTTCAAAATTTGCAGAAATTTTGCTCTTGTGCTTAAACGTTTAGGAATTTCTGACCTGATCATCTATAAATGACATTACGTCATCCAGTCGTAATTCAGTGGCATTCATCGGATTATCGACAATGATCACCTATACTTGAAATACATTTAGTTAAGTGGATAAACTTGCTTCTCTTCTATCATCGGTTTCATTATGGTAGAGATGTGCACGAGAATTAATTATTCATCTTAGAGCTTTATATTTCATTTTATAAATAACAGTTTTTCTACATAGCTAAATCACATGAGGTTGGCAAAGAAATTAAGTGATTTTTCTTTTTTAATTTTAGAATTAGTTTATTTCGTTCAATGAAAATATAAAAGGCATATTTTGAAAGTTAATCCTGATCTTAGAGATGAAAAGAAATATAAATAACTAAAATTAATATTACATTAATAACGATGACAATAATCCTGAAAGTAATCAGTATCATAAAAACATGTAGCAAAAAGAAAATTTGGAAAGGAAAAATTAGCTAATTCTATACGGAAAAAAATAAATACTTTTCTAAAAGCGTTGAAAAGTTTGATCATAATAGCCCATTCTGGCAGTTTTCCTTGATTTTCGTCTAATACTTTCTGGAAATGCTTTATTCAAATTCTTCATTCAATAACAAAACAACTTTTTTTAATAACAGAAATATTCTCATTATTGTTTCCTCTATTGCATATTTCTATCAGCTTCATGTATCAGTCTTAGACTTATTTGCCTGTATCAAAAAGCTTGTGTCTGAATTCTTTTTTTTTCTGAAACTTCAAAATTTCAAATCCACTTTATTACTTACTTTATCAATAATAGCTTTGTTTACACCGTTATCAACTACATGTTGTGCGGACAGTACCAGGTCTAATTCTTTCTTATCAACGCGTATTTTGTAATTGTCAATAAACCGCTTGATACTTTCATCAATTTGTCGAGCTACAATTGTTGCCAAGTTAGGTGACCTAAAATATGATCACGCAGTTTGATGTTAAAAGTAAGACTGATCTAGCTTGAATATCAGTATATGTAGTTTATTTTTAGCATGTGATATGAGTGCAATATATATAGGTAATTTCCATTTCTTGATGTAATTAAGAGTTTAGTTACCAGTTCGGAAAATTGAAAACCAATCTGCTGACTCCATTCAAAGTGCATTAGAAATAGATTTGAAGAAATTTATTATACAAAATCAAATGTACATACAATCATGCACAGTTACTTCATGCAGTAAAATATGGATTTTTCCTTTCTTAACTTACTGCAATATTCTTCGTGAGTTTGCGCGTACGTATATATTTGCAATAATTATTCAATTTATGCTCTCAGTCATAATTTCTGCTAATGTTCTAAGATTTTTCTGTACTATATTTTCACTTCCTCAAATTAAGAAGCAAAGTGAATTAAAATAAAAGACACCTAGCAAACAGTGTTTATACATTTAGAAAAATGAATCAAACATTTGAACTAACCTGTATGAAAATTTAACAAGTTGGCGGACGCCAAATGGAGCAAAGTCTCGAATGTTGATATCATAAACAGAAGCTTGAATTAATGCATCTAATGGTAATCGGGCCTTTACAGATGGACTTCTTCCATCCAAATATGGCAAAGTATGTTTATCCGCAAGGATTACCACATTATCGTGTTCTGAGACAAATTAGCACTTACATTTAAATTTATAAATTTAATTAGTCTGTCGAAGGAAGTCAAGTTTTTTTAGATCATACATCCTTGACTTTTATTGCTGGTAGTTCTGTGAATGCTAAAAAAAGAAGCGAATCGAATATCTTTTTTTTTTGAAACTTGAATTCTTCGAAAATATAAAAATACTACTGTGAATAAAACTTGCTTTTAAAACTGTGTGATGATTTTGGTCACATCCTTTCAAGCTACCATATTTTTTTACGATCAAAATATCAAATTATATTACATAAAATATTTTATTTCTGTCCTTGGAATAGCAACAATGTGCTTGGGAGTTTTTGACTTAGCTAGCACGAATGGCACTTTCAATGTAAACTTGTTAGAAGTAAGTACCGTGTATTGTTTTTGCAAATTCGATTTGAAATGCGATAATTGCTTCGAACAAATCGTGATAATTGTCATCCCTACAAATGATATTGATCATTCAATGATATTTTTAAATTTCACTACAATAATGAACTATTGCTATACTCAAATAATTTGAAAACAATGATTACGATAGGAGAGAAAACTTGAAAATATGCTAATTTCCTTCATTACTCAACTTTCATATATGTTATTTGTTATTAATTATTGCAAATCTTAGTTTCTATCACGTACTTCTTTCTTCTATTTCCCAGAAATTATTTGTTTTTGTTGCAATTATTTACGATCTCTTTCAAAGACTGAGAAACGAAAATTTACAATTACTGGTAAGATTACATTCAAAAACTAGTTTTAATCCGTATTCTAACATGTCATTGATTCTCACTTCCCAGTTATCTTCCATGGTCATATTTTTCGAAATTGAATTTAAAAAATTCAGAGTAATACAAAGTTAAAAAATATAATTTAAAAAAAATTTTTGAAAAATACTATTGCTAAAAATATCATTCAGTTCTCTTCTGTTTCTTTCAAATAGATTTAAAATAAGAATGAAGCAATCTATTGTCATTTATCACTACGATCGTTATCACCTGTTATTAATATCATACGACTGTTTGAGAATATATTTTTAGTAATACTGTATCAAAAAACTAAATTAACTACAAAAAAGAGATGATATGAAGTTATCATAATGAGAAGGATACGTTTCATAGCTAATATTTCCAATATTTAGTCTTGAACAATTATTTCTGATTTGCTAAATTAAAATTTCGAATGAAGTTATTATATTCAAATGAAGTTATCATAATGAGAAGGATATAAAAAAAGGCTTTCGGAATATGCTGATACAATAACACATGCTAAAAATTATAATAGTGCTAAAAATAGCACAAATGTATCAATATCACAATAACCGTGGAGGTAAGTGTATCAATTACAGTAACCATGGAGTGAATTGCAATACTGATTTTGCTTTTGTTTTTGTGGCGATTTGTTAGTAAAAGAGCAATACTATTTTAAAAAAAGTTGTTCAACTTGGATAATTTATGACAGCAAATTCTTAAAAAATGTAAAAATAAGCAAAGAAAGGAAAAGAAAGAAATTATTAACTTAAATATTTTAAAAATTTGAATGCGAATAAAACGAAATTTGAATTTAGCAAATCAGAAATAATTGTTCAAGACTAACAATTGAAAATATTAGCTTTGAAACGTGGCACTTTAGCGAAACGAACCATATGGATGGAGCGGAGAGGACAATAAGTGCTCGGTCAGCTTTATGAACGTTGAAGAATTCAGCTTGTGTTGGCAATACGGCGAATAGCGATGTAAGTATTGCCGCAAAGTTAATGTATGCAAGAGAATGGTACCACGAGTGATGACAGCCAGGATGAGTTGACGCCATGGCGCTCAAGTGAAATCCAAGATATGACGTGGTGGCCGCGATTGCTACAGGTGAAAATTTCACTGACTTCATTACTTCTGAGGTCATTTTATAGGGGTAATTTTGAGCATGTTTTATCAATCCTTTTTGCCATATTTGTTGTTTGCTTGTTCGTTGTTTGCTACGTTTCATTGTTGTTGTTTATGAAGGAGGAAAAGAGAAAAAGAAAGAAGGCGTGGATGCTGATGGTTCAAGGAGTTTAGGTTGATAGGTCAACAATTTGCCTGCCGGAAAAAGTTGAAAATCCGGAAAAAGTGGTTTTTAATGGATAAAATAAAGGATAAACTTCAAATTCCTCCTTTATCCTGGTTATCCCAGGTGTATTTCTGGATAATTAGGTTGTCTTAGGCTTCTTCCATTCAACAATACATCGCGCACCAATTCTTCCATGTTGATACTCGGGAAAAACCAGGATTTACTGCCTTCGGGCGTGCAAACTAAAGCGTGTTTTGCACACAGCATAAAATAGACGCGGAAATAGACATGTAACACTACTACTAATATAAATTACCAATAGGTCAAACAGCAAATCAACAATTCAGAATATCCGAAAAGTTTCTGGTCTTTTGGTTGGAAAGGTTTCACCCTACAGACTGGTTTTTCACTAACAACATCAAATCATTTCTTGAATGTCGTAAATAGGCTATTTTCGCCTTAATTTGTCGCAAAAAAAAAGCGAGCGATGTAAAAAAACCAATGTTTTATGGAGCAGTAATACGCTGTCGACCCGATAATTGATGATGACCTCAAAAATAAATTTCACTTTCTGCTAAATAAAAAAAAGAACGTAGCTGATTAGAAATTTTGATGTGACCCTTTGCTGAAGTGATACATTTTCTCACATTCATTCATGTAATTAATTAACAAATAAGCAATGATTAGCAGTTTATTGATATATATATAAAATTTCTTTGCAAAATAATTTGAAATTTAATTTTAAGTACATCATAATACAACATAATATTAATATCCATTTGTTTTATCTTTTCTACAAGTTCATTTAATTTTGGCTAATATTTGATATTTGCTAAGGATTACATTGCATTTAATTACTAGAGCTCGCTCGCTTTCGTAATACTGGCAGTACTTGTAAGCAACATATGAAAGAGTTTCTTAACTAATCAACATCAGTACAATTAATAGACATTCCATAGGCGAAAATTAAATTACTAAATCCAGCCGTTCGTTTAAAGTTACATTCTAGTTTCGTCAAATATTTGCAACAATTCATCTTTATTGGCTTTTTTTGTAACACAAAGTAAACCCATATGAAAACAATGCTATAACAACTGTTAAAGCTGAGAGCATTTATGACAAAGTTCAAAACTTAAGATAAGAAAAATAATTTGACTTGTAAGAATACCATTTTAAGTGCTTAAAGAACACGAAAAGTCTTAGCACTGAAATGAAAAAATTCAAACTGTATCAATCAATCATTTCTTGTACTATTTGCTTGCTTAATTCCAGATGTAAGCAAAAAATTATTATCAGTAACAGCAAACGAATCTGATGCAACATTATCTCAGTATGGCCGACTCACAATTCTTTAAATAACTACTCTTTAAATAACCAATTTTTCGAATTTTTGATTCTTTAGCACAACAGTCTTCTAGACATTTCCATATACTGCTTATTCTTCATCGTTAATTTTAAAATCTTAATAGTCTATTTAGCAGCTTTTGCAGAAGTTTTTCGAATGCAAAGTTCAACTGGACTATTATGGTCAAAAACTTAATTTGCTTTACAGATTTCTTTTTGTCATTTTTGACGAGCATAAAATTTGTTATTAGCAGATCTAAAATCTATACGATAGTTTTTGTCATCAAGACTTGTTCTTAAATAATAATTGAGAAATGAAACGGTGTTCAAATTAACAGAAATCTTATGCAAACGTGCGACTAAGAACTAACAATAACAAATATGTGTTACTGCTAATTTTCTTCTGTTGTTGAAGTTTTTATAATTTCAACGGACAATTCTCGTGCATTTTAAAACTGAAATGAAAAGCTAAAAAAATGCGACACTTATCTGACCTTCTGCAAAATGAGCATTTCTCCAAATTTTCAGAAAAATCTATCATTTTCAGGATTTGAAAGTTTTTAAATTGGAATGACCCAATAAGATTAGTGAAAATTTTCAACTGTGATCGGGAAAGAGCAAGAAAGTCTTTTCATCGAGGAAAAAACAGGAGAAATCAAAGTAGATTGGGGTCAAGAGGAGATGAGGTCAAGTCCGGGTTGGTCGCTTTTTCAAAAAAAAAATTGAAATGATCTACAAATTCACTTTCTTTGCAATAACCAAGATTTCTTTCTTTTATTATAATGACTTCCTGATGACTATTATTTAATTTTATTGTTGCTGTCAACAATGTTGCTTCCATCAGTTACTCGTAAAACAAAGTAAGCTGTTTCAAGTTTAAAAATTTACAAAAATTAGCACTTCAAATGGAGGTGTTGACTTATACTGCTAAATTCAACTGAATTGAATCTTCAAAAAATTTAATTGATAACTGCGCCGGTTACACGAAACTTACTATACAACCAAAATTTTTCCTACTGCTCAAATAAATACTGCCTTTAGCAAATCGCTTGAAAATTTTTTAAATACTTTCACATTTTATTTTCTATATACATTCAGATAGCTGACGTCTTTTCAACTTTGCATAAACAAATACCAAACAAGAAGTATAAGGTTGACAACAGTAAATTATTAAATTTTAATATCAATTCTGAAACATAAAATGTCAATTTCGATTTTTACCAAACGTTCATATACCAAGTAGATTCCGTATATAGCGAGCGAAAACGATTTCCATAAGCAGCATAGTGCAAAGCATCCATAATAACAACGACCTCTATCTAATATACACTTGCAATATGTGCGAGACGGGTACTTGATGAAAGTACATTAACGAAACACTAGGATAAACAAACCTGTAAGCAAAGGTGGTTTATCTCAACATATCACTACATGCTCATACATGAATCAAGAAACGGGTTTTCATTAGAAACAATTCTGCAATATTCCAGTAATCTCAACGCAGAAATTTGCCTTATTTTCAACGTATGCACAACTCTCATCTCTGCATTGAGGTCAAATGTCAACCAGTAATGGCAAAAGTTAAACAGTACCCACATAATGCCATCTTGAGTACGAAATCCCATAGAAATATTGCAAATATATTTTTTCTTCCTTACTTGTCCGAATCATTGACAACGTAGACAGTTCCGGACATCATCATCCCCGTGCACAAATGCGTAAACAGCATTTCGTCAGGAAGAAAATACTGTCCTTCCTAGTACTCTTTCCCTTGTGCCATTGTTTGCATTTCGAGTACCATTATTGCATGCCAAAGGTCACTCCAAACTCCAAACATTCCGCAATCTAGGGCATTTCCTGTTCAGAAAGAAATCAAATTCCGTTATTTGGATGACAGAACTAACCCTTGAGCAAGTCGAAGAACAGGTATTGCTGTTGGTACTACTACACTAAAATAAAATCGCAAATCCAGCAGCCGCTTGCTTCTCACTGCCCCTTCTTAAAACCATTTAACAGAGAGCTGATAAATTAAAATGACACAACCATTCGTACCTTCTTACCCAAAAATTTCAACTGCAAATAAAGAGGATCAGTTTTGAGCTTCCGTTTCCCAAAATAATTGTAATGTGCCAAACATATACTTTTAATAGCTTAGATACTTTTATTTCCAAGGTTCTCAAATTTTGAACTAAAAACAAATCTAAGTTTTCAAGTGTTACATCGCAAAAAAATAGAAAAAAAAAATGAAATAATGAAATTCAAATGTAAAAAACTGACAATGTTTCTCGTGAAAAACAGAATTTTTCATTAAAAAACTAACAAATTTTATGCAATTTTCTAAGCGTATTACAACATATAGAAAAAAGAAAATATTGGATATGAATTCCTTCCAAAAAGATAGTTAAGGTATAACAACACTGTCCGAACTTATTTCCAAAGCAGCGAGAAGCATTTGCAAATTTTATTACTAAATTAGGGAATATTCAATAATCTTCTAGAATATTAGTCAAATGTTCATTATGAACTTTTTGATTAACACGACGCCTTCCAACTTTTCGTTTCGGCGCTACATAAAATAATTTCGTTGGTGCTAAATCTTTCATCACATCAATGCCATGCTTTTGCAAATATTCTTCAATTTTCTTTTCATCTAAGTGGTCAACAGATGCGTTCCTCCACAAACTTCTGAATTCTGCAAGTCATAAATTAAAGATCAACTCCTCATAAATGGAAAAACCAAAAACTTATGGTCTTTGTAATCAGGAACTAGAACTAGCAAAACTCTTCTAAAAAGCTAGGAAAATGAGGAATCCATTACCAGCATTCTTTTACATCACGATTGCAAGAATTCATTTTTTCAATTTCGCCTGTTGATGCCTCACATATTTTTGAAAACAATAAAATGAAACGCAGAACGAGAAATCCGTATATCGTGTTCCATTTAGAAGCAACAAATTTTCTCATCTCTTAGTGGAAAAAGCAAGTCTGGTAATAATTAACAGAACTTTACAACAAGAAAGGCATAAATAAATTTTAAGAAAAGTCAATATCACTAAGAAATGAGACGCCCACATTTTTACTAAACATTAAAATAATGTCATAAAGTAACTTACTTTCGTCAACTTCATAATCAGTGTCTACATCATTATAAAAATAGACATGGTCTTTGCGCTTGTTAATCACCGTTTGCACATCGATTACAACATTCCCTAATGCCTAGAATAAAAAACAATTCAAAAGGAAAAAAAATTACTATTGACACATTAAAAATATCATAATCGGCATTTCATAGATCTACAAAGATCACAAAGACTTTGCTGATTTTTGAAATATAGGAATAAATTGGAATTAACAAAAATCACATAATGAATAGTTAAGCGTATGAAATGTGAATAATAAACCTCGATATGTTTTTCAGCAGATGGTATACATTCGTTCAGATCAGATAACAAAATGCCTCCTTTACCTTCAATATGATATTTTTTCAGCAGTGCTAACAAAGAATTTTTTCCTTTAACTTTGTAAGGAGGTTTGAAAATAAACTTCCCATTTTCATCGACGGATAATCGTGGATTCATCGGCAGACTCTATAATGTACAAAGAAAAATTATACAAGCAGTGAAATTGACTGCACCTACTTATGGTCATAATTTTTTAACCAGTAGTGCTAAAATATATACAGATTAGCAGAATGAGCAGATAATATTAAACGAAATTCTCACTCAAGATTGTGAAAGTAAAGCTCTACATATGACAAAAAAAAGTAAACAGACTTCTTGAAGCCATGCTTCTGATTTTTTCCCAATATCATATATCTGCAGTTCCTCCAACAACTCCTTCAAACTCAATGACCATTGTTGCGATGACAAATGCCGTTTCTACAAAATTATACAATAAAGATAAATAAAAAACATGACCAAAATACCAGCTTTGCAATAAATATGAACAGACGTTCTATAGAGCACTTCTAGCGATCCTGAACGGATATAAGAGGCATTCATTGATAATTTTAAAAAAGAACGATTAACAAGAATTCTGCGATTTACCATTTTTTTGGCACTTGAAAAATACGACTTAAAAGCAACAGATATCTACTTCAAATAAAAGTGTATTGAAGATACTGGCAACTGAACTGTCAAATACTGATATTTCATTATAAAGTTGGCATTAACAGACATAAAGAAGCTAGTGACGAAGTAAAGAACATGATATACTTTCATATAATCAACAATTTTAGCCATTGTCCCAAAATTTGCGGCATTTGATGCTGAAGCGGTCATGGCGTTTTTTGAGTTGAAATCGGCTAGGGCTATAAACATTATCTGTAATGCTTTGTGACCACTACTAACAAAGCAGCCATTTTTTTATTCCAACCAGTTTCTTAGCATTGTTGACGTTCTTCATGCAGAAAACAAATAACCGGCGTTGAAAATCACAGAAACCAAAAATTTAAAAAGCAATAAACTATGTGCAAAACTTGCACAAAAAATATTTAAACAGTTTTTGAAAACCCACATTTAGCCACCAATTGTGGATCACTGTACACTTTTCGTTTTCTTTTTCGACTTGCTTCTGCACTGGAACCAAAAAAGTAAGAGCCTTCAAAAGATAAAATGATGAACTGTATTACAGGAGTTCAACTCACTCATAGGTGGTGTGCGATGTGGAAGCAGTGTTATTCTGAATCATCTCAAGAGATTGTGCAGCTCGAGCTTTGAATGCTACTTGCTGCTTCAGTAAAGCTGGATCCATGTTGACTTCAAAACCAGATAATGTCCCAATTAGCTCACCAAAAAAACCACGGCATAGAAACTTCTGTCATCTTAAATAGAATACCAGTAATGATCCCTTCGAATTAGCAATGATTATAGTGTCACCGTTAATAATCTAGTAAAGATAAAGAACAATTTGAATTCGAAATATAATTGCCCAAATCGATCAAACACAATTCACAATCTAGTCACCACAACATCAAGCAAACACATCACATTCAAAAACGGAATTAGGCTACGCATCAGCTGACTTTTAAGTCATATTTCAGCACCAATTGGTAGCTAAAATCCTAGTAGAATATTTATGAAAAGACCATAGACAAAGCAAAGGAAGTGGTGTTCTCATGAACCTCACAACATCGTACACTGGATGACTTGATCTACCTCTTGATACAGAAGGTACAGATCAGGATGTGATAAAAACATGATAAGAATGACACCATATTCAAGAAGAAAAGTCCTTCTCACAAGGAACCAACAACAAAAAAACAATACTATGACGAAACATTTGTAGCCTAACGACAAATACTAATGCTTTAACTTTCGGTCATACCGTTATATATGCGAGATGAGAAAGGCTTGAATTGATACAAACCACTGATGAATGCTTGTTTTGTACCCAAATTCAATAGTTAGAACATTAAACAATGAACAGCGGTTCCCGGTACAACATAAAGAAAGAATAAATTTTGCGACAAAAAACTTGAAAAATAAAGTTTTATCAAATAACAGAGTTTAACGAATACCATACAACGTTCAATATCAAACAGCATAACTATGAGCAGTGGCGTCTTTAGGATCAAAACAGATCACCAAATAAAAAATTATAACCACACTATATGTTCAAAAAATAAACTCTGAAAAGTTCCAGCCCAGAACTAAAGTCAAAAAACAATGAAAATTAAATAACTAACCTGTCAATCAATGCCGAACAGCTACTTTAAAAACAAAGACGACAACCTTGAAATAATAACTTTCTAAATAAAAAAGACAATTCTTGAAAGTTTCGCGTCTGAGTAGGAAAACCATCAGAAAAATGTCCATAGCTATCATAAAGGATAGAGTATACAAACTTTTAAACTACATCCATACTGTTAACTATAATTCGGATCACGTTTATGGTCAAAAAACAACTTGAGATGGACTCAACAGCATAACTGCTGCTGTTTCTTTGGGATGAGTTCGAGACCTGTCATATATTTCTTCTCAATGCCGTATTTAAGAAGAATGTTGCTGATGAAGAAAATCTACAAATGAAATTCATTTAAAATGAAAGTATTAAAATTTTTGACAATACGAATAACTTTAGATATAGTTTTTATTAAACTATATATACACTAAATACATTATACAAAAAGTAGATGAAGAGACGTGATGTACTTTATTAAATGGATCTTTTTAATTAAAAAATGTGGTTAGTTAATGAAGCTATAGTTATTTATTTAAAGTACAGTATTATGCATCCCAATAAAAATAAAAAACATAATCAACTACTACCTGATTTCCTTGAACAAGAATTTGCGGACCTTCACAGTCAATAGCGCTATCAACCACACAAGCACCTGCAGCCACAATGGCTTGTATTTTCTGACAAAACCTCTTGTGATCGATTCCAAATACACTCAAATTATTTACCAATGTAACTTGCTTGTTACCACTACGACTTTCAATCTACAAATTATAAGAAGTTTCCAGAGTAGCAAGATAAAACAGAATAAAATGTTTCCATGAATCTACATTGTAATAAATGTTCAGATAAAAATTTTCTAACAAACAGTTCAATAAAAACAAAGTTGTTAGAATTTTATAATAAAATATGTATACATATAAATACTTTGTAAAATGAATTGAACACTTTTTCAAAGCTAACATAATTAACATTAAATCAATATCTATTCCACATTCCAATCTTTTTTATAAAAAAAATACCACACCACAATTTTATTTACAGCAAAAAATAGGTAGATATATACAAAATCCATTTTAGAACTCTCCGAAAATGAAGTCATTTTACTTGCTACAGAAAATTTTAACCTTGAATACGATTTTCGGCAATCTCGATTTCCGTATCAGCTGTCGTCCGTCAGTCCAAATAATTTTGTATGTTTTGGTCATCTTTGACAAAACTATCTGAATCAAAGTATTCCAATCCAGTGGTGCAGAAGAGGGCAAAAGTGATACTAGTATGGGATCGACTGGTACAATTAACTCACCCTTTCTTGTCGGATTCTAAAATACAGACTAAGTAAGGATCAAGTTACAGAGTAGTAAACTCTGACCATACGTAGTTATGAGAACAAAATTTTGCAAAACAAAAATCATAAAGATGATCAATATTTTCCGCTGATTAGAACATCTGTAAAAAGACATCAAGAATCAATATCAATAAATTAAAAGTTAATAAAAAAGAGACAGCACTACATGCACCGCAAATGCCCAGTTAGAATGTTTTTGAAATAAAAGTGACTACCTTGTATTTTATGTATGTTATGATGACTTCTCTTGCTTGCGTTTTATCGACTAAATCACCTTTTCCATAGCCTTGAAAAATTGCCAACACAAGTTCCGTAACAGATAAGTACTCATCAATGTGAATTAGTTTCTCATCAGCTGCTATATCATGGATTCTTTCGTCTGTTAACTTAAAATTTTTCAACAGTGGATGCTCCCAATTAACCTAAATTTTATAATTATAAGGGAAATTAATTGAAATACACAATAAACACAGAAAAGGCCAAACTTCGTAGAAACATTAACATCGTAAATATTCAGCATATAAAAAGATTTCAAGTTGAACCTTCGAAATCATATCCGACTTTTTTTTGCTGGCTGTGAGAGAGATAACCGGTCCATCTTTACCTTCATTGATACTTTTTATAAAAGTGCTGAATTTTTTATATTCAGTTTTTTTCAAGTCAATTCGTTGATTTGATGGCACACATGGGAGAAGGTAGCATGAATAGAATTCCCCAATATCCAAAGGTAGCTGTTTCTTCTTTGTAACACGATATTTCAGAGCAGCCAGAAAACAACGCTTCAGCTAATAAAAAAATTGTATTATTCATGATCCAAATAGATAAAATGTATTGAAAACCACTTCATAAATAGTACCATTAATTCTAACATAATACTATTAGATGAATACATGGCGACATATTTAAAGGGGGAGTGGGGAACCACTCTTAAATCTGAAAACTATAGCATCTACTGTCAAGAGCCATATCCAGAACATTATAATTTTTTAGCATATTAAAGCAACGGATTACAACAAATCAGCTGACCACAATCGAGGTCACTTGCACCTTGATGAAAAGCCTAAATGGATTTTAAATTTCGAGATGTACTATGAATTTTAAGGACAAACAAATTAAAGAAGACCAACTAATATTTCCACTGAATTCAAGCTTTTTGCCTCTCTATCACTTTGTTCTTCTTTTGAAATAAGAACTGATATTTGCTGCTCTTGCTCAGAAATCTTATTCCATGGTTCAGTTGAGTCACTGACACTTTCATTATCTTCCAATACTAAATTACCCAGAGGTGGAAATTCTTTGTCAAAGCTTTTATTTATCGTAAACGTAGGAATTGTGGAAGATTCATTTACCGTAACCGTCAAAGGCTGAGTTAGACTTCCCATTTTCCTGAATATTAATATTCATAATTGTCAAAGATCACAGAAACAAAAATTATAAGCATACTGTAAAACGATAAATAACATGATCAAATATGGATAAAAAAAATAATAAGCTAATGAAAGTAACTTAAGTACGCACCAAGAACTAACCACAGATAGTCTGCATAGAAATGAACCACACGAACACCAGGCCCTTGCATACCACTGGCAATCATTTCCATTGATGATATTAAGGAATATCCAACAGCTACTGGACCTACAAAACAAAATGCCTATAAAACTTATAATCACCAACTTATTAATCACTTTAACTATCTTTATCCATTAAAATAATCTTACAGTCTGTTATTTGTAAATGAATAAACAACACATATTTGACCCTCCATAAGGACTACTTCCAGGTAACTTAATTTCATACTACTCCATCAGTGCTTTATAATCACTGATGTGTGGGACTTAATTTCATGGTACCATGTGCCATATGTGACTAGGAAAGTTAAATACTTATTACTGGACACTAAAAATTAAGCAACCATTAGTCAAATAATCTTTAGAAGACGAAATGAGCTCTTATAAAGTGGACACAATAAATCGAATACGTGAAGAAAAAACTAACCCCAAATCTCATTTGATGACGTTTGTACAGATATTGCGATTGGTTCGTGTTTACCAAATTCCTTAGTTTTCCGTAATGGTCTTATTACACCTCAAAAAAAAAAAGATGTAATGCTCTAAAACTTAATACCAATACAACAAAGCCTTTAGAACTTCAACTCACCTTGAAGAAATAGATCTGCTCCATTTTGTAATTTTTCGAACACCAATCTATTAATTACGAGTACAGGAAACGTTTCCGGTGCCTTCCTTGTAAGGTAAACTAAAATTTAAATTTTGAAAGAAATTTGTCAATCTTAACTATGTCTGTACTTTAAACTCACCAAATAAAGGCGACCAGAAATGAGATGTGCAACCCCTAGAGTATTAAAAGGATCTGGTACAAAAAATTTAACCTTATTTTTATGGACTCACCGGTTGGGAACAGTATTTTGTTATTCGGAAAATAAAACAACAGCGGTTCTTTCTCAAAAGTGAAAACACTTGCAAATGATCCATCATGGCATACGACGCGCACTAAGGAAATTGAAGATTTTGTAGTGATACCATCGATAGGTGTTGGCAAATCAGACAGCAGTGTCTTTCTGCAAACAAGCTTGGTCAACCTTGTAAATAATTTTCATATTTGGGATACAAGCATGATTGCTAGTGACCTTGACCAAAAATAGCAGGTGCAGACTTTCAAACATCGAAGTTTCATACCCTTTGTGGAAGATCAGAGAACAAGATAGCTAAGGCTTACGAATATTATAGCTCAAGAATCGATATAAAATCATTCTTAGCCCATGATTGAAAAATATAAAAATGAGAGCTAACCCTTCAACTATTAGTAGACTAATAAGTTGAAGAGGTAACAAGGCGACTAACTTTTCCGTATTCCGCAGAGACACCTCACTTCTACGAGTAAACGGTTTCCGGAACATGGACAAATAATCTATCCCCTTTGCTCCTGAAAGTCATAGAAATGTAATCAAAACTTCTGCGTCTGCAAAATTGTTACGAGGGAACCTTATATGAAACGATCAATGAAAATCTTATTCTCCTTCTCGGGCAATCCATAATTGTGATTGATATTTATTTGCCTTGTTAACTGTTCAGTATGTCTTCATATTTTATGCAAAATTTCACTGCTTGCTAATGTTATCGTATGAACTCTAACACGTTTTGTTGAGAAAACGCTGCTGTTGAGGTGGAACAAAGTGTGACCTTATTACTTTAATATTCACTAATGGTAGATTTTTTCAGATATTGTCAATTTAGACTCAATAAGTTCGAAGGAAATAATTTCTGCTTTGAATGGTGGTAGATGTACTGTGAGTTTAACTTACAAAGATTTGAAATTATAGTGGAGAAATTATTGCAATAAGACTGAAATATAGCAGTCCATCCATATCTTGTAAGATAATATATTACAACACGCTAAGATTACAAATGGCTATGGACAAGGTCTTCAAACCACATGAGAACGATTTCATCTCACCTCTAGTTAACTTCAGCATCTTCGCAAATGTATTACTATCTTTTGTTCAAAATTTGCGAGAAAAATGTTTTTAATATTTTTGTGTCAGTTCGGTATCGAACTCATGTACCCTTAAGAAATATCTACAATTTCTCCAGCTTGCAGCTATTTATTTATTGTCTTATTTGTCAGGTTATTTGTCCTTCATTATGTTTGATGAAAAAGCTAATAGATTACTGCGAAATATAATTTTTCGTTTTGATTTTGAAAAATTGCCTTTCAAAAGACTATGGAAATAGAAGTTTTAACGAAATTCAGGTGGCTCAAAGAGAAAGAGACAAGTTACGGAGTGCTTTCCATTTAGAACCATTCTTCTATCATGGTAACCCCTCTGATATCTTTGGATCAGTTCATGCAAAGACATTATCAAAAGTACAAACAATGGATGACAGCGAAGAAGCTATTAGAAAATTGCAAGAAACTTTTGATATGGAAATTAGTAGTGCTCAGGAGGTTTTGTCTAGTTTAAAGTAAGTTATTTCCTGTGTAATTCTGCCTTGTATTTCAAACATTTCATTCTACTGCAATTTTTATTACAAAAACTTGTTGGACATTTATTTAATGTTCAAGTCTAGCGTATCTTTTTTTCTCCAGTAACTTACAGTTAGCAATGATAAAACTAAAATTTTGAAACTTTTCTCAAAATTTTCAAAGAGTTTTTGCCTTTTATCTAACAAGATATCAACTTGTCGTTTTTTTTCGATTAAAATCAAGTATCAGATTTTTGTAGATCGTATGGATGGATCTGTAGTCTAGAAATAAGAAGTAAAAAGTTTACGAAAATTGATCTTCTATAATATATTACCCTAAAATGATTTAATTGCATTTAAATAATCAAAAACTGAGTTTATGACTTTTGTTAATATCTGATCATATTTTCAATGTGTTCTATAAGTCATTTTTGCTTTCTTAATGAAACAAGCAAAAGTATTGAAAGGTTAGTGAAATAAGATAATCCAGTTTGTAAATTCTGTTAAAATGTAGACTTTGTAAAATGGGGTGACTTCAGCAGTGTGATTTTTCAGCATCAATCATCTTGCGTTACTCAATAAACGTGATATATTTTTCCGAAAAAAAATTGATCGAGATGACATTCCAAATGATACAGAATTAGAAACTTTAAAGTAAGTGTTCACAAACAAGGAACAGCTTTACCTTGCAGGAACACCGAAACTTTGTTAGTATAATGAGCTGGAAAATAGGAATTTGGTATTATCTTATTGTTAAGTACTTTCAAGCAATTATATATGTCTAAGTAATGCGTTAAAAATTGTTTTAAAGGCTTAAAAAAAGAGAATTGGACATGTTTTATCCCATTAAGAAAAAGCCTGTTGGACAATTCGAGAACCCCAGGTTATTTTACTTTTTCGGAGCTTTTTCTTGCTTTGAGAAAATTTTTATGTCTATAATTGAACATTATGAATTTTTTATTGTTGATCTGATAGCCTTATTCAGTTGTTCAAACAATGAAAAAGTTTTCTCTATGAAAATGGAAAGCTTTGGTTTCAGACAACATAAATTGGATTTAAAGATTAGAAGAAATGTGCAGCAAAGTATTTTTTATGGCACTACTGTGCTTAAATATGGTAATTATTATGAAAATGTAAGTGTTTTAGTTGTATTATGAATTTGAAACTGAAATAATTTTGTGAGTACAATATTGTAGAAACAATATTCGTCTGTAATTATTTATACAATATTTGTCTTAGATAATTTGTGCTGTTGGTTACTTAATTTCAACCGCTTTTTCAATTTTCACTACTGAATTTATTGCTTTATAGGAAATGAAACATCATCGAAATGATGGATATGGAACTTCGATGCTAGATGATATTGTTGTAACAATCGTCATTTGCAAACCACACAACAAAAATCTCGAAAATTCAGAAAAGCGAACTGCATCTGTTAGTTCTTGAAAAGTTATCCTCAGTTATTTTTACTGCGTGTAAAATTGGAATTCTACTGTGTATCATACTTCACGCTTCTAGTACAGAGTTCACGAAATTATTCACTTTACTCATTTCCTGAAAAATCATATAGTATGTTTGTTCAAGTTATAGAACTTTTTTTGATTTATTCCTGGTAATTTTCATTTACTAGAATTATTAACTAAGCATAATTTTTTCAGTTCAACCCTTACTGGAGATTTCTTGTTCGCGGTGAGACTACGCTGCTTGAATTGCATGGTTTATTTCGTTGTACTGGAGATTTTGGTACTGTAGTTGACGTAGGTACCACACCAGAACTTCATCAGTTTGACATGGTATATCAATTTCTAATTTGAATTTCAGTACTTTTTTATTCTTTTGAACTGCATGTTTGAGTCATTATATATTTTACTGCAAAGCATTTGTTTTTCAGTTTCGATACCCCTCATCTTTCTTGTTTATTCATGACACATTTTATATTGCTCAAAGCTATGCAGCGTCGGAAGAAACATTGTCTCAAATAGATTGGTCAAAATTGGAGCCCCATATTGATATTTCAGAGTAGTTTATTATTTCCAATTCGTTTTGCATATTCTTTATAATTGTCCTCATTTGTTACGTTCCGAAAAACTAATTAAAAACTGATTCCTTAATACATAATATGGAGATCTAAGGTTTTTGCTGTGTATATGAATATGCTTTTATAAGAGTATTGCATATGGTTGATTTAATGAACTCGGTTTAAATGAAAAATTTCTTTTTCATTGGTTTTAAGAAAGTTTTTTTCATTTCATTCCATTCTCATGTTAGTTTTAGGCCTGTAAGAGCGTGGATGCAACGGAAATCTCGAGATTTTGGTCCCACAAATGTTAAAACTCTCAATGAGGGCAAGGTTAATTGTATTCTGAAATTACTTGAAGCAGTGCTTTAAAGTTAACTCAATTTTGTTACAATTACTTATGTTTTGTTCGGGACTCGGAGCCATGTTTTGTGAAGAAAACAGTTCTCGTTCTTTGTTAAGAACTTAGTTCTTTTCCTGTACGTAAACTTGTGACACACAGTGTTCACTATACTTTACTAGACATCGCAATGAATTAACTACTCGTCTAATTTTAGGACATAAAAGTGTTGGAAATTGGAAAGGATACTCAAGTCCTATTCTTTTGTTTAATTATTTGTTTAGGTTCGGGATTTGATATGTCGCCTCGGATATCCTTATGTTTATGTTCATCAAGGCAATTGTGAGCATATTTTCTTCTTTACCGATTTACGGCTAGTGGACGCTAGAGATTACCCTTTTGATTTCCCTCACAAACTATCTGACACAAGCTTGGAAAATTATTGTATTACCTGTCACAGGCGGATTGCGGAGTGAGTCATGCACTTGTAGTATTATTAAACATTTTCGTGTTTTTAATATTATGGACAACAAAAAATAATGATATCTTTACTCTCTCTAGAGAAAATTCCTTCCTTTCGTATTGAATGTTGTTTCAGTTGGATTGTGGAAAATGAAACTTTTCCTGTTAGTCCAGCTCATATGTGCAATAGATGCTATCGAAGTTTTCATTTCGTGTTCTCATATCGTCAGGGATTTGATTCTAGAGCATTTGTTTATGTGGATCCATCTCTTCTACATTACTAATTTATTCATTTAACTGATGATAGTGGTAATGTCTTCATATCAAACTGATTGTTTCCTAGTGTTCTTGAATATTTGCATATATATGTTCCAGAAATTTTCCTTCCTTATGTATGCTCTATTTTTAAAAAACTGTCATATACTTTATTAGTTCTTGAAGTTTTGAAATAAGTTGATCAAGCTCAAATTACCAGCTAAGCACGAAGTGGCACTGGAAATTCGTAGAAATTTTATATGTAATGAAATGGTCAGGACCGGCAAGTATATTTTTGGTTACTAATATTTTCTTTAAGCAAATTGTTAATGTCATCTAGTCTTGACTTCTGTATATGCTTTATAAATTTTCTAGATCTCGTTAAGACATGATGGCGTAAGCAATAGGCATGAAATCTGGTTCTGTTTCTTAGACCAATGTTTTTGTGAGTCAATCGTTTACATGATTCTGCGGAAAATTTGAGTGGTTTCTAGTTTTTTGCTCAACCGGAGGATTGAATCACGAAGTTAAGTAGTTCATCGTTCATAGAGAAGAGTTAACAGAATAAGCCAATCGTATTATAGTACAATGATTCACAATTATTTTTACGCGAACTCAATGACACACATGAAACAAGTAAGCATTACGCTTACTTATTGAGGGTTGGTTATGAAAAGTCACGTGGTAACAAAATTAGAAAATGGAAAATTATCCTGAAGATGGCCCCTTCTAACTAGAAGGTGAAAGTAGTCAGTGGTAATTTACATGCTACATTAAATCATAAAGACGCTGAGCTAACATGTATTGATTCTATATGTGAAATTGTTTACTGCCGAGTGGTCACAAATGCAAACGACACATGCATCCTATATGTTCCTTTCCAAAGAACAATTACTGGTATAATAACTTTACGTTAATTAATGATCTTTTGATTCGCGAATAGATGTCAAATTTCGACGAATAAAAGAACTCTATGTAAAGTTTTTCTGTCATACAATACATCGAAGTGCTTTCGTCTGTTTATAACATAGTACTTAAATTATAGTCCTATATGATAACTGTCTACATTATTGCGGTGGTTCTGGGCATGGAAATGATTCACTGCATACTCAAATTGATTTATGAAGTCAAAAAACGAAAAGCATCGAAAAAGGAAATGCCAGTACTTCTCGCTGATCGAGACTCCCTGGGAAAGGTGCTCTGAATCATATTTCTAAGATTCTGGTCTTCATCGCAATTTGGTGAAAAAACGGTTCAGCTCGTCATCTAAAACAATGCTTACAACATTACAGTTAGAAAAAACAGAGATCAATCCACTTTTATTACAGAAAAAACTTATTTTCAGTGAAACGGTACTTACTGAAGACAAAAAAGATTCGCAATCTCTTTTAGGGAATCCAAAACTTTAGCCTGAATATGATAAAGTATTCAAACAAGTTTCCATTTTCCTGAATTTTAATTAATGATTATAAAAAAATTTAGGACACTGTCTATCGCAAGACAATTGAAAGCACATTGCCCAGACTGGAAAAATCAAACAAATTAGCGAGCAAAAGACTTGATATTCCCATTTCGAAAATGAAAAACGACACACTGGAATCAATGATTGGTAAGTGCGATTATCTGCAGAATGTGCAAAAAGTTGACATACATATTATTATGCTATCTTAGCAGCCAAACTCAGAACGCAGAAGATCTTGCAAACTGTTTATGCTTATTGAAATCAAGTTAACAATCTTTCTCCAGAAATCTTTGCTTCTTAGTCCCAAGGAGACATTTTTAGATGTTCGAAGCGTAATATATAAAAGTTGCTGCAGTGTCATATAATAAATTAAACTTAAGTCCCACTACTCTTTTATTCTTAAGCGTGCAAAGACCTTAATGAATTAAGGGTTAGACGGACAGCGACTTGTAAAAAATTAGAAATCAAAAAAAAAATTCGGAGTAAACTGAAACACAAGAATACATGGCATCACCGTCAGCACTGCTACGATTAAATGCTGTATTTGAATGCAGGCTCCACTCACGCAAAAAGAGAGCTAAGCAAATTACCTAGAAGCAACTTTGAAGATTCAATCACAGGCAAATCAGTCACTGCATCAAGAAGGAAGCAAGCAGATCACAAGGGATTTTTGAACGTGCAAAAATCAAAAATATTACGACCCGGACAAGTTTCCAATCAACAGCCAAAAAAGTGATTATGGAAAAACAAGAAACCATGACGAAGCAAGTGAACATATGCAATAGAGAAAATGCTTTTTGTAAGTTCATGCTGAGCCAACTAATTTACAAATAATCAGGAACTGACTAAAGAAAATGGGATCAAGAGAGAACATCAATTCTGTTTAGATAAAAAATTAAATTAAAAAAGCGCATATTGAGATAAATATAGTAAAATGACTATATATATATATAGTTATTTTACTATATTGTTTATTAAAAATGATAACAGCTTATAATTAACAGCGCTGAATAATTTGTGGAAGCAACAAAAATAGATGACGCGCAAAACACTCGGAAATGAGCAAAGACATAACAACCATGACAAAAATTAAACATCCTTTGAAGAAATAATCTTTCCTCACTCTGTTGGCTCAAACTGATCATCTAACATCGCGCAATTTGAGCACTATCCTGAATTAGATATAATACTACAGATCTATAACAAATTTATCAACATGTCTGCTTCTATCATCAGCAATTAATTTTTAATAACAAGGAACTTAAGTTTAATGCCCACATTTTAATTTATCATGGAGAAATGAAACAATGGAAAACGAGAAAGATAGCAAGTTCTTTCAAAAAAAAAACCAATACGGATATAAATAATGTATTACTGTCATTTCATTACTACCACAACAGCTACCATTAAATTTTTTGGTGAATAAATAGTAATAGAATTCGCTACTAACAATATTAGACAGAAAAGCTAAAAGATGCTCAGCCGAAACTAAAGTTTCAACAAATAGTTGTAAACAAAGGGAATAATACAGAAAGTTTTATTTCTGACAAATTTTATTAAGAGGTACAAAAAGAAAAAAAAACGAAATCATTAAAAATAAACAACATATCCTGATGTTCAAGGTTATAAATGATACTTAACATTGTTCTCGTTAATGTAAAGAGTTTGTTTCTATAACAGGTAAACTTGAAATTCAAGGATTTTCTTGTGTCAGAAAAATAATATCACAAATCACATTTGCTACCTCCGTTCCGTCTGGCCAAATCCTGCAAGGAAATTAACTTATATAAGACTGAATGAGATGAAATCAACGATAAGTACTGAGTTTGTCAAAAAAAATGCACAAAACTTCAGGCTTAGCAAAAGTTTATTTTTTGTCTATCACTGAGAACACCACACATAGTAGTGATGTGATGAAAAATTTACAATACAATAATATAACACTATAAAATGTATCCTATTACAAGATGTTGGCGAAACATAAAGATAATGTGATGCATAACTTAATTCACCTGATGTTGTTCGACGCGAAGGTCCTGCAGAAGAAGCTCTATAACTATAATCTTGCTCGAATGACCTCCTATTCCGGAAGAAACTGTTATCACTGAAATCTGCCAGTAAACAGCGTAAACAACTGAACAAAACAGTGCTTTCAAACTTTGCAATATGAATTTTTATTCGAATAAGACGATTACAAGACCTGTTTTGGTTTCTTCCGAACATATATCCAGCCAAGCCTCCTAAGCCCAAACCAGAAAAAAACCCAGGCCCGCTGGATTGCGAACGCGTATTAGAACAACCGTAAAAAGCTTCATCATATGTCGGAGGGGCGTCGGGCGGGCGAGTGAAATTCTTGAAACCTGGAGGAGGTGGTCGTCCACTACCAGGTGGAGGCGGTGGTCCCTGATCTCCATCCCATCCTAAAAACGAAAAAAGTCAATTCAACTCTGATTCCCTTTAGATGTCTTATGCAATGAAAGATGATCTGTACTTCTAGAAGCATCTACAAGGACTGGTCCAACATATTGAATCCACTTATCAGCGCGAGTTTCAATAGAGAATAATAAAAACAAGACGGCCAGTGACGAGCTAGAAAGTCACACTTTTGACTATTACAATTATTAAAATTTCTTACCACTACGCCTTGTTTCTCCATATCTGGATGCCGAACAAGAATGATAAATCAAATAGAAGAAAAAAAGAATAACCAGCAAAGTCAAGAGTTTTGATGAACCAAATCTGGAACAAATTGCTAAATTACAGAATAAGTTAGCATTAAATGGTAGTTCTTACTTTTAGCAAACAGTAAATGTAAATTACCTACAGTAAATGTGAATATTTTCAAACCGCAAAACATATAAAAGTTTATTAAACGTACTCAAAGTTTTCTTCATATGGCGGAACACTTCGAGTGTCGTCGCCTTTTTTTCTATGACTATATTCTAAATTGTACTTCAGCTGAAAATATCGAAGGATGAAAATTATGGTGCTACAATAATTTGAAAACTTACTTATTAGTACTTCTATTAGTTGCCACAAACTAAATTTGAAACTTACTCCACATGATCCTTGCAGAATATATGGATCATCTGGATAGTCATATCCTTCACAAGATATACGAATCTGAAATAAACAATTTTTGATAAGTTTTGAAAATCTTTTAAAAAGATTATTAAAATACTAAAATAATGCTCAAAGTACAAACATTTTCGTTTTCATATTGTAACAGCGACTATGAACAACAAATAATTGTTAAAAATAACCAAAATATTCTAAAATAGCAGATATGATCAGAAAAGTGGGAGACTTGGAAAACTAAAAACAAAAAATAAACAGAAGTTAGCCATTTGAGCAATTCATGCAAAAATTTACTCGTTAATTATGAAAAACTTGCTTCACCAAATTCATACTGATCGCTCATTTCTGCTTTACATTCCCACTGTACATCAAAACCATCATAACCTCTATTGTAACACTGAACAACCTAAAAATTATCTTGACAACATACAAGTCATATAGATAACAAAATCACAAAATAACGAAAATGCATACATCAAGTGCCAGTTAGATTGAAAGATTTGAAATGCAGTCCTAAGATTAAGTCCTCTAAAGTAATGACCATGAAAATGTTTCTAGCGAAACACATACTTTCGGTTGGAACTGCCCTTTCGCTGATCCTCCAACACACTGAATCTGTGGAATTGGAGAAGATCTTCTTCCAGTAGTGACTTTGTCCCTGTATAGAGTAAGCGTTGAAACATCAATCAAACGAACCTTTTTTGAGCTTTCTATAATAAAAAATTAAAATTTTTAGATATTTCGTATGTTTCCCTGAAAAAAACTAGATGACTACAATCAGAAATCTTCATTATTTTCGATCACAACTATTATGCATACATAACCAATAAGTCGTCACTGAAATAAGTTCTTGTTTAAGTTTAATTAATAAACTGAGGAGACTGTACTAGGAAACATTCTCGAAAAAAAAATTTGGAAAAAGCAAGGAAATTTTCGCTCGAGCAACTTACCACATACTCTAGTTAGAACAAAAATCAATATCACCTTTAGACTAAACCACGGTAACATTATTTGTTTGATAATCACTAAACCTGAAAACAACATACGCTCCGAACTTAACATATCAAGGGAAGGACAGAAATATTTTAAACTAGGTCAAAAATCTATTTATTATAAAACTTGAAATAGATCATTATTTTTACAAGCAAATAATTATTAAAAATACCCAAAATATTCTAAAATAGCAGCGACATGTGGAAAAACAGTGATCATATAACCACTAACATACTACTCGGCAGAATAATTATGTATACGCCCAGTGTTTAAGAGATATGTGTTACTGTTACTTAATACAGCTTGTTAAATATTTGTAGGACTGCATTATGCAACAACTTTTCCAGGAGCAGAGAGTAAAAAACTGTACAAGAGACACTGTTAATTAACATTAGAGGTCGTTCTTGGGTCGGGTTGCATGTAATGCGTAAAATTCCTTTCTCGAACACAGACGTAGTATCAGATATAATGCACTCTCACCAAATAAGCTGTATGTTAGTTACTTCGTGAGCTTACTTCTAATGGTTCTAAACACTATGCAAAACTGTATGTATAAAAGTTTATAATATGCAGATACTATGGGCAGATAGGTGTTATGGGTCTGGTATTATTTCGTTACTTTTAGAAACTAAAATTCTATCCAAAATGTTGCTAGGAGCGATATCTGATATTTGCCAGAAATATAAATGGCATTATTTCAAACTTTTCTTATTCGTCTTCTCACTTGATGGCATGGTGCACATCACAAAATTATTTTCATTACCTACAGCGCAGAGTGAGTCTTTTAGTTTACTTTTGTTCGCGTAATTGTGAAAAGTCTAACTTTGCAAAAGTCAATAATTTGTTTTGTATTTGAGGTAAAGTATTTCGACAGATTGATCCAGATATTTTTTTATCGCATTTTGAGCATATCATGCAGAAATGGATGTTTGCAAATCTTTTATCATAGATTCATTATTCATTACAAATTCAAACCATCATTGCTGCTTCCCCAATCGATTCGGGATCTCTGAAAATACGACTTGTAAGAGCAATTTCTAGACAGTTTTGGAAAGGCATTAAAAGTGATCATTATCGTTTCAAAAAGTAACTTCAAGAGTTTTTTGATCTTTCTAAAACATGGGTAAATTTATTTTAAATTTATCCATAAATATTTCAGTACTGCAGTATTATTCAAATTTCGTTAATTTAAATATTTAATGTTGCTATAGTTTTGTAATTATCTTTCCAACATTTCAGTCAATCTATTTTTTTATAGATGATACTAAATGATTTTCTTTTCATGCACTCTACTTTTTTCATCAATATTAAGTCAACTTTTGTATCCATTCTCTCGCTCATCTGGCATATTTTCACTTTACCAAACTGTAATAAAATCAAAAAAATCCTTACGGTTGTTAGGGAGATGAAGATTTGAAATTAAATACAACGCGAAAGAAGAATGATAGCAAATTGTAGTTTTTCTTAGCAAGATTCAAAAATGGATACTTTGTATGCAAATGATGGTTCGGACAAGTAAAATTGATTCTCGGAAATACTTGAGGCATATCCTGGCCGGAATTTACCACGGCCGGAAACGAGCGAACCACCGGATGGTCCAAGTCGTTCCCATTTTGGCAGCCGAAAGAAGAAGTCATCGTATATATTCATTGTCTTTAAAATTTCTTATTATCAGTCTAATAGATTTTATTTCTGTTTTTCTGGTCTTAATTTTTTGTTTTTTTCTTCATTTGATCATTTTTTACACTGCTTAACTTTGTATTGCTAATTTTTTTTGTTCCTTTTAATCTGACAGTTTTCACTGTTCCTTTTTTATGAACAATTAATTTTTCATGTGTAATTCTTAATATAAATGTTTCTCAAGTATTTGCAAGATCTCTGAAGATACAATAGTTTCAAAAAATCAGTGAACTTATTTCAATTTCTTCTTATATGAAATTATTAACGTCTTTAAAATCAGAATCTTGCAAATATTGCAGATTTTGGTTTGAAAACGTTAATAATGTTTATTTCTTCTGTGCTTGCATTATCTAAATAATCATGCTAGCATCAATTTTTTGATTAATTTGATCTTTATCTCATATACATTTTTGCTTTAGTTTTTGTAATGAATGAACTTTTTGAATGATATGCTAAGAATGATTGTTATCTTAGCTAAGTAAGAAGTGCGAAAATATTGTGTTTGAAAAGGACTGAATGATATATCACCAAAGCTACAAACGTGCACAAAAACGATTACCTAAGCTTTGTCTTTTGACTGACAAATGTTTGTTAGTTTGGTTCATAAATTAATACAATAATAAGTTTCATTTTAATGCAAACAAGAGCAAAAAATAATAGTTAAAGTAAATAAATCGAAGTGCTTTTTTTTGTTAACATAGATATTTACTTGTGAAATTTGAAAATCACTTTAAATTTCGCAAAGTTTCATACTTTTATTGTGAAGAAGAAATAAATGGAAAGAATTTGAATCTACAAAATATGTAAATATTGCATGTTTAAAAGGAAAAATTTACAAACCTGACAGAAAATGTTGAAAAAAGTTAATGTAAAGAAGAATGGAATTGGTAGCATCAACATATTGCCGTAAGGCATTGTCTTGATAGTATGTGGTTCGGTTTTCAAGACGAAAGTGAGGGATGAATGATTGTGCTAGGCAAATATGTTGTTTGAGCTGTTGCTATAAATTTTGTTATGATGGAACACTTTTATAGATGTGCGTAGGACATTAATTCTATCAAATCATTAAAATGGAGAAAACGATACAACTTTAATTAATTTGCCAACAAATTTCGCAGAGGAATTGCTGGAATAAAGTATGGGAGATTTAGTTACGGAAATTTTGAGCAATCAAATGACGTAAAAAAGAGTAAAGGTTTAAAATAGAATAAACGTAATTCAGTGTTTATTACTCACTTTTTGTTAGATCTGATGTTGAAAAACTCATAACTGTTTTGGATATGTAAACAATCCAATGCATTTTACAAATTCTAAATTTTGAAAGAAAATTTTTACTTTCATTGCCATCTCATTTCAGGTTCAGTTAATACAGATAAATTATAGTACAGAAATTGATTCAAATCCGAACAAATTAACTTACAAAGTATCCAGTAAATTTGCACTTTTGGAAGTTAAATTTGTCTCAGAAAGGCAAGAATACTTTAAATCACAAATTTTCGGATACATAATGGTATGTAAGTAATAATGAGTGATAGCGCTTAAACAAAATTACTATAATAGCTTTTATGAGGTCATTAAATTGCGTAACTTTGCCAAAGTGCAACTGTCATCAGTTTAATGATTGAAAAAATAGCTACCTCAAAGTTCAGCTCTTATAACAAATCTAATAAGGAGCTAATATTAGATGTTGTGATGGAGACTGATCTTTGATTCAAAAGCATTCAGATTTCAGTATGAGAGTGATGTCTCAATTTTTTTTTAGTTTCATTTTCGGAACAGGAAGATTGACAAAAGAAACAGAATTAACACATCATCTTCTACATTTTGCGTAAAGGTCATGCGGATTCATAAGTATTCACATTTTATTTTTATAGAATTTATGCATAACGCTCAGGTCCAAATATGCAGCCAACCAGAAATAGACATACTCTTAACTTAAAAGCTATACAGCTTTCATTAGATCTTGGAGAGTCGATATTGACTGATATTAATATATTTTATTCTCAAGTGCCTGACCTTTGCTGAAAAGATTTAATAAATTGTCATTTTTACTGAATGTGATATAAAGGTTTTTTTTTTTGGCTTTAGCAGATGCTAGACTAGGATATCAGTTTCTTTAATTGCGCAGAAGCTAATACCTTACCCAACAAAGTCCTCATAACAAAAATTCTAATTTTACATTTCCAGTCGCTTTCAATATTTCAACATTAAGCATTATGCTACTGAACACGAGTTTTGCATGATTAGTTGCATATTTTAATCATGCAACAGCGTCCTCGTATTTAGTTTCATTTTCTGTCAAAATGTGGTGAGGTTGTTTATTTCCCCTCTCTACATTTCTTTATTTGTTAATTTTTTGTGTTATGATTTTTCACTCTTATCGTTCATACAGCTGTTTTTCTTGCTTTTGATTTAGACGCACAAAATTGCAGGCTGTGGGGAATAGGGTAACTGTGGGAAGTAATATGTAAATTCACAGTTTCAGTATTCTACTCTGTGTAGCCCTCATTATATATTTTTTTTACATCTGTTACATTAATTGAGTAAACTGCAAGAAATATAGCTTTTTCCAAGCTTACTAAGGTAGTATTGTTTGTCATCTTGTATTTGATTAATTTGAGGAAATGAGTAGTGACTCGCGAAGTGATAGTAGCAGTGATAGCGACACCAGACAGAATGCTGGAAACGAACTTTTTGATAAGTTCGATGGAGAAATGATTGTGGAACTGGAGAAAGCTGCAAGTTTTTCAACTGTAGTATCAAATCTCTTTATTCGATGTTTCAAACTTTCTCTATTCCTTTAGCATGATAGCTGAACGGCGCTGCAAGGGTATAATTATGAGTGTTTTGTAGGTTGAAAAGGAACCGAAGAGCTATCAGTATCGTATGAAGTTGATTATGGCTTTACGTCAAAATGGTGAACTGAAAGCTGCTCGGGAGCAGCGTGAATGTATATCACAAATATACTTAATGCCTCCATCTTTTTGGATGGATTGGATTGAGTTAGTTTTTAGAACACAGCAAAACTTTACTAGTGGCTTAGATATTCTTATACATTTTTTTTTTACTTTTCAAAGCTAAACTTCGAAAAATGGAAGGGTCAGTTGCAAAAATACGTACAAAGCATTATAATTTTACAAAGACATCTCAAATTTGACAACAATATAAATTGTCTTAGAGAAAAATAAAATAAAGCATTCACTTTGTTGCTTTCTTATAAATTAGATTATTTTTCGCATCGTTTTAGAGATGAGAAATCTGATAAGGGAGACAAAGATGTGCTGAAGCTAATTTTTGAACGAGCATGTCGGGATTTCCATAGTCCTGATATTTACTTGGAATATGTTCAGTGGGCTTGTGGTGTATCTCTTGAATTTGCTAGAGAGGTACTAGGGCTTATTAGTCTGCAATGGCATTGTTATATAAAAATATTTGTTTTCTTTACCATGAGAGCTGAACCAATTTCCCAGATATCTATGTTGATATTGCATTTCAAGATATTAACTTGATTCTACATAATTAACATTATGTTAATTGTTTTGCACTTTATTAATATGCGAACAACAGTGAACATTATATATCATAAAAGCAGTCTTTATTTAAGATAAAAATTAATTTTCAGAAAATGGAGGAAGCAGTTATAAAAGTTGGTGTTCGTGCAGATTATGCGTCAGTAATCTGGAATGTATATTTGGACTTCGAAAAAATGATTTTAACTTCTATGAATGGAGAAAAAGATGAAAAACAAAGACAGCTTGTGGAGTCACTTTATTATCGGTTACTCTGCATACCTCATATTAGTATTGAGGAATCATGGTCTGAATACAAAAGTTTTACAGGTGACAATAATTTCTTTCCTATTTGACGGCTACTGACAATGATGCATTTTAGTATTGACTCATCTCATATTTGCATTTTAAGCTAAAATTTCGTGATTTTGAAGCCTTTTGTTTCTTCATTACAAATAGTTTCAGAATTTGTGTCATGTTTTAGAATAACTAGTCCTGATAGTTCTCATTATAATTATATTTGGGGTCTTTCCGTAGATGATATTGTTTCTTATTCATATGTCATTAATTATTTTAGTATTTTCTGCAGATGGCAAAGTCTCAGATCAGTGTCGCAAAGCATTTGAACTTTCGGCACAGTATGTATCAGATCTTCTCCAATATGAAAAACGTCTTTATGATGCTACAGATGTGGATGAAAAATTAATTTCGTTGTTAGACTATATCGCATTTGAAAAGCATTGTAATTTTTTAAATCATACTTTGGGAAATTTGCTGATATGTTAGCTCTATAGTACGTCAATTTTCATAAATTTAATCGTCTATATTAGTCGCTTACTTTATAGCCAATGATCCGGCCAGAATTCAGATGATTTTTGAACGATCTCTTTGTACACTTGCTTCATATCCAAACTCAAATATTTGGTTGCAGTACGGGAATTGGCTGGATACTGAATTAAAATTGCCACAGGTCAGGCAAACTTTAAAGTTGATTAGCTGTTCATCTAATATTTTGTAACTTATCTGACTTTATACTTGCCTTCGATGTGAATTTTGCAGTTATTTCCTTTATTATATGCATATTTCATGAGAGCAAAAGTTTTTGTCTTCAAAAAAAAGAATTATGAAAAAAGCACTTTTTATTCCGACTGAATAAATTGGTTAGAGATTTCCGTGGACGTTTATGCACGAGCTGTGCGTCATGCGCCATGTTCGGCACTTTGGCAACAGTACTTTTCTGCTCTTGAACGATCGAATGCTCCATCTGAAGAAATTGACAGCAAATGGCCTGATGCTCAGGATTCAATAACAACAGCCGATGAAGGATTTTCACTTTATCGTACTTATATTTATTTGCTTCGCAGACGAGTAGCCAGCAAAGGTTTATACTTTATTTTTCACTTTGTTCAAGCTTTAAAGTTGCTAGAGATGAATTTACATATTATCTGTTTGCAAATAACAGTTAGAAATGTTTTCTGAAAATAACAGAAATGTTTTCTGATTGTTCACTCATAATGCTTTTTGCATTTTACGTATCGACAACTATTACTAAAAATCATAAAGAATTTTCATCTTATTGCATTCATCTCATTCGAACATACTTTGTCGTTCAAATTTTTGATTGTCTATTCTTTAGCATTTTTAGTTTGTTTTCATTTTATTTGCATCTGTTTTAGGAAACAGTGATTACACAATTGTACTAGAAAAATTTGAAGAAGGTGCATCATTTTTAAGCGAAAAATTTGAATCTCATTGGGACAATCCAAAAGCTCAGTACCGCAAAAATTATGCCTTGTTTTTGTACACAGTAGCAAAGCAGCCCGATAAAGGTATATCTTTATTTTTACATTTATTTAGACATAGCCCGAAGTGTGCTGAATCGTAAGTCTTGTCCTCGTTATAAATTGATATTACCAATGATAAAAGTACTTCAGTACAGAGGTCATTGAACAAATATAAAAATTCAAAATTTTATAGTCTCTAAATATAGGGAATCAAAATTTTCAACGATTTCAGCTCGGAAGATTTGGAATGATATTCTGGCATCAGGAAGTGGTCATCTTGCTGCAGCTTGGATAGAAGCCGCCAATTTGGAGCGTTTTTTTGGCACTCTAAACAACGCTCGCAAATTGCTTTACAGAGCTATAAATTCAGCTAGTGACCATCCATTTACGGTGACTGTTCAATAAGAATAAGTTTGTTTAAACTGCCTTTTTAATTTGAGGCAAAATAAGTAAATCGTAATTGCTGATGTTATTAAATGGGGACAATTTTTTATTTGATTGTAATATTTCAGGTCTTTGAAGCTCTCATCCAGTTTGAGAGAGAAGTAGGTACCATTGAAGAACTGGACATAGCTTTAGCAAAAGTGAATTCTCAAGCTGTTCGGATTTCATCGCGAGGAGAGAAGTCTAAATTCGAAGGGGGAAGTAGTAGAAAACGAAGAAAAGAACGTACTTTAAATTTTGTTGACAAAAAAAAGAAAATTGAAAATGCATCAAATGAAGAACCTGAATCTGCTGCATATGATAGGGAACTGAAAAATCTTTCAGAATCAGTTGCTATAGATCATAATGAAATAGAAGTAAGCCTTGGATTTATTAATGAATGGTTAAATGAGTCCATTTTCGTTCTTTTTTTCAATTAATTCATAGTCGAATATACTTTCGATATCGTGACCAAATATCATTTGCATTTGTTAAAATATCAATTTTCAGATTTAGATTTTCAGGATCAAAGACATTGATAGGTAGCGTGAATAGTATTTTATGATGTAAACTGAGTAAAGTTTTCTCATTCATTTTTATTCCGCAATTCAGATAGAAAATTTATAGATAGGGGATTCCGGTCATAATAAGGTGGACAATGACGGTTTTGTTATTCCGCAGCTCCCTCCGACGATGTCAAAGATAGAGGCTACTTCAAGTGAAGACGTTTTACCAGTTTCAATAAACAACGATTCTGCACAGCAGCAAAATACTGTTTTCATATCCAATCTCGATTTCAAGCTGACCAAAGAAAGATTAGAAGAAATCTTTCCGAATGCCAAAGAAGTGCGACTTATTTATCGTGGGATGAGCAAATTAAATAAAGTAAGTTCTTAATGTCTCTATGTACTATTAGTTTGTCTTAAAATTGTTTTTGCGATTTGTTTATCGTAATTGGTTAATTTTTTCCGTACTTGTAAATGAATGGAAAAATAAGCGAAGCAATACCGCTTTTCGTGTTCGTTTTCAAATTTGTTAGCTTCGGGAGTCCGTTTATATGGAAAGTATGTTTGCTAGGATCCTCAAGGATTAAATTTACAACAGTGGAGCCAAATTTCAGGGATTTGGGTATGTAGATTTTTCCACTGAAATAGAAGCTCAAGAAGCTTTAAAAATGGATCGAAAGCATATCGATGGCAGACCACTATATGTTTCTAAGTATAAATCACAAAAAGGGAAACCTTCCGAATTTCGTTACAACATTGGCTTAGAAAAAAACAAAGTTTTTGTTAATAACATCCATTACGATGCATCAGAGGATCAGTTGAAGGTTTTTAATATTTTCATATGCTAGTTTTTGATGTTTCGAACACCAAAGTTTTTTAATTTACAAATTTATTTGTTAGTAGTTTTATGATTTTGGATAAAACAGATGACTATTTAGATATTGTTTCGTTTACAAAATAGTTATCTTTAACGGGAAAGCAAACAAGACTTAATTTCTTTAAGGAGATTTTCAAAGTGTTTGGTACCATACGTGATATTCGTATTGTAACGCACAAATCTGGTAAATCAAAAGGTTGTGCCTACATAGAATATGAAACCGATGAAGATGCTGCTAATGCAGTGAGATCTGGAGAAAACCTTTTTCTGCTAGGTTGATTTTCTGGCTGTTATACATGGTTTTAATTCTGACTCTTCTATCTTCACATATTTCAGTGGATATGGCTCATTTATTTCTTAATTATTGGTGTATTTTTTTTCGCTTCTTTTCTGATTATTTTTACTTACCTTTTATTTTTTACACTTTTTGCAGAACGAAAATTGGCCGTTGCAATTAGTAATCCACCAAAACGTAAAGATCAGCAACAGTCGTCTTCAACTTCAACCAATTTGGTAGATTGATATTTCTTATCACCGGAAATTGAGTTTATGCCAGGACTTTATAATCTATAGAAAAATTTCTGTGGACGACCTAATATTTGCGCATGTCACTTTGCTAACCGTAACATTCATTTATTAAAATTTAGGACTCTCAGTACACTGCACAAGCTAGGCAAGGAATGTATTTCAGAATAAAATTTTGGTGTCTTGTATTGTTTTATCTCATTTTTTACTGAGTTGATTTGAAATATTTGAACTAAGATTCATGTTTTAGTCCCACAAGCGAAGCAAAATTACACTTATTCCTCGAGCTCTAACGCGAACTGTAGCAGCACCAAGTGGTCATGATGATGTCGAAAGTAATGGTTTAAAAGCCTCGTCGAACATAAAAATGTCTAATGAGCAATTCCGGTCCTTTTTAAAATGATTTAATAGATCTTGTAATTGTCTTTGTTACAACAACTCAAACATTTGTCTTTATTTAAACAGTTCATGTTCGAGGTGGGTATGTTTTTTTATGCTGACGTGGTAATTTTTTTGAATATCACTAATAACTGTCGTAAAGTATTATTTTATTTGTAGGGACTGTGTCACCATAATAATTTTATGTAAGCAGATTGACGTATGACTGTTTTGTACTTTGTGGTTATGAAATTTGTGAGGTGCAGTACTTATGCTACAGTTATGTATTAATGCAAGTGAAATTTAAAAGTTGTGTATGTCATTGTACAGTTTACACCCAACGGTTTGGTTGTAAAATAAATTAAACGCTAATTTTGAATCTCAAAACTTCGGTTGCAAATGAATTATGGTAAACTATAGTAAAATTCATAAATGTGGCATCAAATGGTGTTTAGGTTGTAACAGCTTTCAAACTCAAGCGTTTTTATGTACATGACAAATTGCAATCACTGATAAGATATGGAGAAAATGACAAGTACCTCTATTCTTCTCTTAGCATGTACTCAGATTTTATTTATGAGTATTTGCTGTATCCCTATACTATTCCATTTTTACAAGAGTAGCAACTGAAACTTAGTCTACTACTAAAATAACAAGAAGTCCATCTTTGAGTTCTTTGTGAATGTTAAAGAAGGCTCATTCGTACATCTTAACCATTTCGATATGCATGAAAATTAAAACTGGGAAGTAATTCTGAAGATATGAAATACCGTTTCACAATACATGGTGAAGAAAAGTATCACAGATATAGCAAAAACAGTATTAACGATAGAAACAGAAATGTGGGAAATAAACGCTGGTATTGGTTATGCAAAATAACTACAAGTTAGTACAAACTCCTTTCATTTGGTTAAGCAGTGCTTGCTATACGCTAACTGGTTACACTGGCATAAACTTTCACAATCTTGACATGCATGCAGTGGTCCGTATTCGTGTACATTTAGGTTTGGTAGCCAATTCTTTACACATCACTGAAAATCTCTTTAAATTTCTGAGCACGAATCTTTAAGTCAATTACTCTACTGACTAGTTTTAGTTTTTAACTAGGAAAATCCATTCCTACTAGAATCTGGGACTTCTACTTTGCTTTTCGAAAAACAGAGCTTCAAATTTCTCAAATCTACAGACTACCGAAAGTTTGCGAATTCTCATAGTGTTGTTATGACGTCTTTGCATGAAAGGCGGCAATATACTTTTTTTGCTATTTTTTGATTTCTGAGAAATGAAAGAACATACGAAGTCTCTAAGTGATTATCCATGATAAACTTCAGTAATTCTTGTTGCTTGACTGAATTACACGATTCGACTGTTTTGCCAGCAAATGTCGCGGCAAGTGAAACTGAAGCTATGGTAGTTGAGACCGTTGGAGCAGGAGGTGCGGTGGTAGCTCGAGTTGCTGCTTTTTCTCGGCTATTCAATACCAATGGTGGTGGCGGAACTTCAGGAAGAGGAGGTGGAACTGCCGTCAAATCATTACAGCTTTCAATTTCACGCACATTTTCTTCACTAAGATGAATTCGTAAAGTTCCACTATCTTCTGTCAATTCTTCCAAATGTTCACCAATCGCCACTATAAACAACAAAAGATTACCTCACCAGTATTCTATTCTCATCAATTAGTAGCTCTAGAAGCTCAACAAAACCTAAATTCCAAGCTTAAATATCAGAATAGCTGTGGTATTTGAATTAAGTAAAAAGAATTAATGCATTGCAGCTTTCAACTTCACCACATTTTCTTAACGTTTGCTAAGCCCATCAGCAGTTCGCTTTTATTCTATAAAAATTTTGAAAGAGATACTAGGCCACCTTAAAACCCATGTTTATTAATGAAGTCGAATTTATTTACCTGTTGAAATATGCATGTCCGGTTCACCGGTTGGAGTCATTTCCTCTGTGACCGTTGAGCCTTCCATGTATGATGAAGCGGTACTAAAACCAGACGTAGACGAACTGAATGATTCTGAAGAAGCTACCGTTGATTGTGACTGACGCCGAATGTTCTGAAATATTTTTACATTTCTCAATGTAGCGCATTTAAAGCTTGTATAACATCATTATCGTATACAGCAGAAAAAGTTAATAGATGATATGAGTACGATTAAGGAAAACAATGTTAATATGAGTAAGCAGTGAATACCTGCTCATTCATTCGATTTGTTATTTTCCTAGATGAACCACCGACAGCTGTTGAGACATTCCACGAAAACCGTTTCAATATTCCAGGAGGCAGATTCGCAGGTGCTTTGGACTTTGTAACATCAATACCATCTGATGTATGGTAACGTCGCTCAAATCGTCGAGCATTCAACATCTGTAACCTTCGAACAAATATACAGTTCTCTTACAACTTTTCCTCTAAAAATAATTACCATACACCAGATGTTAATTATCAGATGGTAATTAGATGGTAATCAAAAATATTTTCATTCTAATGACTGTGAGAAGTATCAGAAAAATTGCCAAAAAATACTATGACTAATCAAAGTCTAGGAATCATAGTTCAAACTACTCCTTAGATTACATTTAGCATTAATATCTGTTAAAAAATTAGTTTGCTTCAACATTGACAAAACAATATTATTCATAGTGCGATTTTTTGCCCTATACATTGAAGCAAGTGTTGCATATTTTCAAACTTAGCCACTTTACTGCGCTGTCAAACACAAAATAGAATTGAAAGAACAAAAAACAGTCGAGTCTAGCCTGAGATGAAGATAGATCCAGATTTTCATCGTTACCATAAGTCGCCATAGTTGCAGGTGATGAACATCTTATCGTTCCACTTGACTGTGCCGTTTGTGGTTGCTCTGAAATATCGGGACTGCTGTCTAAAGTACCTTGGGATGCCCTTAGATCACATCCTTCTCTATGTTCCAATGATGTAGATGGAGTATCATCAGTGTACAAATGTCGTTTACTGTACAATTGAATGGAAGGGTCGGCTTTTGATGGACTACTTGAGCACGATCTGAAAAACAAACAAACTCAGTAGGATGCTAATAAATGTAGCTTTAATAATGTACGTAACTTAGAGATTACTTTACAGATATACATGTTTCTTAAAAGCAAATAGAAGTTTAGAGGCAAAAATTTTTAAAACAGTGATTTCGTCATTGTATATAATGATATAGATTAACACGAAGAAGTTGAAAATAGAACCTATTGGGTATTGTAATGTCCGCTGGTCCGGTAGAATTTGATCGGGAACGACGGTGAATGTCGGGAGAATCTAAGTGATCAACGAATTTTGAAGCAAAATGCAGATCCATGAAAGACTTTGACTGACCATTGAACGTTGTGCTTGCTAAAGAAGTCATGGAGGGATCATCATTAATGACTACAGCCAATTTATTTCTTGGTTTTCCACCAATACGACTACTATCACCAGCAATTATACCATTTTGACTTTCTCGTAACAACCGATCAATCTGATCAGCAGATGATACCGTATTCACTTTACGAACATCTAAAATCATCATAAAAATAAACCGTAATCTGTGCTTGACCTGTTATGACTGTTCGAAATGTCCATATATTAATATACTACAATTTTTCAGTGCTTCATCGTATCATTTATACTAAAAATATTAATAATAATAATAAAAGACCAACTAGCAATACGATTATGTTCAGCGACCATTTGTGAATCCATACTGGAACTTTTGCGATGAATGATTTCTTGAACAGTAATTGAATCTGAGTGATTATTACCACAACTGCTGCTGTTTGAGCGACTATGATCTGAATCTTTACTGATGCTCGAACCGAATCCATTTGACAAACTAAGTGGAATGCCTAACAAGCATTGCTGTGGACTTAAAGGTCTGAAAAAAAATTAACCTGAAGTTATTATACTTATTCTTTAGCAAAGGAAGCTTTTCTAGATGTTATATTACAGTCACTCTAATAATTTTAAAAGTATATACAAGTATATCATAGGCAAGTGTTTAAAATTATTCTAGCTAGACTTATGAAACAGTAATATAATAAGACTTATAGTATTCATCAAGTTTTTTCATTAATTTGGAAGTAAGCAAAATATTGATACTGCTATACTACTACTACTACTAAATACTTGTGCAGTAATTAAGCATGAATGATTCATGTGCAAAAAATTAAAACTTGAGTAAAGAAATCTGCGAGATAGTGACAATAGATTTAATTTTTATTATGTATGATATTAGTTAAAAATAAGAGAAAGCTGTGCAGATAATACTTGAGTCGATAAAAATCTCTCAATGCCATATTTGTCATTTCGAGCCATTTTCTGGTCTCCTCGATTGATGGAGTAGATAAATAGTACAACGCGGAAGGCATGCCGAAGTCATTGATGGGTGCGATGACAAAGCCAGCTGAAACTTTGCATTCTCGTACAGTTACAAAATTCTTATATCTATCACACTGTTGGCTGTGTATATCTTTACATACGCAGTAAGTACTTTATGATTTATATTAGCAATTTTTTTTGTTTTCTTTGAAAAAAAATAATGCTTATTTTTTATGTGCGAAAAATCATGCAAATATACAAACGAAGAATTTTAGCAACAAATATTTTCCCTAGAAATTTGCAATTAACTGAAAGTTTAACATGAATGCAGTTTTGCAGTAAATAGTCATTAAGATTTATATCCTGCTTGATAAACATAAATGCAAATATAGAAATTTCATGTAGTTGGAGCCAAATTTTTTTTTTTCACACTAACAAATGGTAATGAGTTGGTTTGAAAATACACATAACAGTAAATGAAAACAGATAATGCCTTACAGTATTCAATAATATTTAATAAGAATATTTAGGTCTTATTATCAATATTATTACTTTTATAGTCTTATTATTACTTCATATCATTACTTTACATCTTATTATTAAATACTCCTATTATATAACTTACAGTAATCTGGGAATTGCTGAAGGCACATTTTAGCTATATGTATTGGTGGCTTAAGTATCCTCAGCCGGTCATAGCGTTTATTAGAAGCTTTACAGATCAGAAAAAGATCCGTGAAGAGTATGCAGTGAGCATCTAACTGAAATTACATTCATATAAGCAAAAGGCTTTAGCTGAATAAAGTAATTAGAAAAGAAAAGCGAATTTTAATTTTTTCAGCTGAAAAATAAAGCAAAAAAATCAACTAACTTTAGTTCCTTGTCTACCATCTTTCATTTTCAGATCACCCCTTAAATAAACGCGTCGAAATTGTGGCTGGCCCACAAAATATGGCATAGGATCAGCCAACCGAATATGACATTTAATCGGAAATATCTGAAAGTTAACACTGTTTTGTAAATACATTCTATTCATTGAGTTGAAGTGAATATCATGCAGCCAATATTATCTGAAAAATATTTTGATTACATTAACAATTCTTTCAATTTTGTGTATATTCAATAGATACTTGATAAAGTGGAGTGAAAATGTTAATGAGAAACAAAACAGCATAAAATCTTATCTAAATACCTTTCGGCCTAATGATGACCACAAATATATGAAATCTGCACATATAATTTGAAAAGAAAATATTATACCATTCAGAAAAAGATGAAATATGAATGATAGTAAATTTACTGCGAATGTGCTTCTACTTGGAAAGTTTCTAGCCAATTTTTTTTAATAGCAAAAATGAATTTTCGGAAATGGGAGAAGACAAATTTTTAATTTAAGGTACAAATGCATACTGAAGTAAGCAAATTATGTAGCAGCCAAACGCTGAATATCATGCTTTTAAAACATTTAATTTAATTACCCTTTCAAATTCTTCACAGTCTACCGCTTCATAACTTTCAATAGCTTTCGATAATTCATTTAACTTATTCTGCAGGTCATTATTATTCAAAGTTTCTTCAACATTTCGCGTTGCTTTTTCTATCCGTACAATCATATTCTAAAATATTTTAGACACAATCAACGCTGCAGGATGCAAATCACTTCAAAACATTATATCGAGCATTTCATATGTGGCAATAAACTAATAAATTTACAACTGTACTCAATGACAACTAATTTCTGAAATGCATAGTTAATTACAACACCTGAATAGCATCGCGTTCCGTATCATCAATACTGTGTTTGAGCACTGCTTTCAGAAGTAAGCTATACCTTGTAAGACGCTGCATAGGATTCGTCAAAGCATCTAATAAACGTTGCCGTCTCATAGTATCTTGAGATTCTGCCCACTAAAATTTATAAATCAGTTTCACTCAATAACTGAACTTCAAAGTTATGCAACATTCAATTTAATTTTGAATTAGAATGTTTACTATAAAAAATGAAATAGTGAAAATTAAGTAACTGCCATTAAACGACTATAACAGACTCCATACAATGCTCCATTAAAAGAAGTATTATTGAGAACTTACACAATAACATTTGTTCACTAATCTCACGCAAAACAGATACTGCTATTAAAGTCATCTTATACTTCAAGAACAATCACTTTTTTCATCTGATAAATATAGACATAATGTTAAAGACATACCGTAACAAATTCTCGGAACAATTCATTTTCTTTTTGGCACTTTTGGACGTAGCTATGACAATCAGCATGGCCATATATAAATGTAGTATAACAAGGCCACCATTCATCGATCCGTTCAAAGCCTGTCTTCAGAATTACTGGATCAAGCAAAACACCATCAGCTCTGAACAAGAACTGGTATAGTGTAAGCAGTGTGAGCTTCAGTGATAACTGATATGAGCAAAGGTATAACCTTTAAGACATTAAGCAATACAAAAACTGCTCTAGCAGAAAATCATCATTTATGTAGCAAATAAAAATATTTGAAAGAAATGCAAAATTTTGAAAAAGACCTTGAAGATTGCAACATTGGAAGTACTGCTTTTTTCCAGAATTTCGAATTATGAACGTAAAGGTCAGGGTAATTGAGAAACACCCGTCGTGGGTCAACATCACGCATATAGCCTATTTCTTGCATTTTCAGAAAACACTGGCAAAGTTCATTCATTTGTTTTAGGAGCTGAAAATTTTTCAGTAAAATTCTGGGCCACGCAAATATTTGTTAGCAGAAAATTTTGATTTAAGAGATGTTATTAGCTTCCTAATATAAAACAATTAGCATATATTTGAAAAACTAGCCCATTCAAATTTCAATTTATATAATTTGAAAATTCATTCGTTTCATTCATAAACTTTCAGTTTCTGATCTATTCAAAGAAAAAACTAATCCTCAGCTTCACATATTCTGTTTTCACGGTTGTTTTATCATTTTTTCAAGAATCTTGAAAGTTTCTCCTTTCTTATATTTTATATTTTCTTTAAGCAATTACACATTTTTTTGTAAAAAAAAACTGGAAGAAACTTTTGCCTGCAAATATCGATGTTCAGTCGTAACAAATTCCCAGATTGCTTCCTGCTGATCATATGCACGTTTGCTCAGTTCTTCCTAAAAAAATTTCAGAAAATAATTCAGTCACGTCAAATCAATTACTAACATTGTAATGAAAATAAAATAAAATTGGAAACAAAATTGGAATTTAAAGTCATAAATAAGTCATTCACTAAGACAAAGTATTCAAGATTTTAGAAGTAAAAATAAAAACTTTCCCAAGTTAATATAAAATCATAACTTGTCTTGAACTATAATTTAATATAGAATTAAGTAGAAAATACAGGAAACTTACGCCATCACGAACAATATTTGTCCAGTGAGTTTCCAGTTCAAACATAGGTACTGATTTCTGTACCTCATCTTTCAGCAGTGTCAAGCGAGCTAACATTTCCGCTTTATCCTACAACAACTTATTTTAATTCCACTGATTAACTGACGTTCTACATTATACTTTAAAAATTAAAGTAAAATATAGTAACAGAAATGTTTAAAAGATTATAACCTTGCCAAAAAACAAGCTCTTTCTACTAGTAGCCGTTATGTTCCGTGTACGTCTTGTACCGCCAATGCTACTGTCGTCTTGAATAGCACTTGAAGGTGAATCGTCTGAGCAGGATGGCTCATCTAATGCCACACTTAAATTGTTCAGCTTACTTTGGTAGAGCAAAGACAAAGTGAAACATGCATTACAAACAGTTTATATCATTAGCAATCTGTTAAATATATCTTCAGGGTCTTCCACTAGAGTGAAAAATTATTATTCAAAAAGCAGGTAGGGACTGCAAGCGCTAACTAGAAATTAGAATTTTCGGTAGCCAAAATTTTTTCCAGAATTATTATCTCTTTTACCTTTGTCAGTAACTTTTGATACTAAGAATACATAAATTTAGCATAATCATCTATTGCAGTTATCACTTTACAGTTTCATCAATTTCTGGCGTGCTTTCTGTGGATAAACAAAATTTAGTCGAATTTATTTTAAACAACCAAGACTTCAGTTATATTGCTAGCAACTAGTCAACAAAAACAAAATTTCATCTTTGTTGATGGCGGAATTGTGATGAGATTGTCTCAAAAAAGGATCCCTTTGAAACAAAGTGCTATTTTGTTTAGTTTGCATAGAAAAATACATTCTTCAAACAACAGATTACTCAAAATGAATTAGTTTCTTTATTGAAAAATAAAAAATTCTTTGTTATTCAATGCCCTAAATATTTCACAGTGTGTTTTTTCTGTTCTTGAATCTGCAGATGTTTCGAACATGATTTAAAATTAAATGCCAGAGAAGAAATGATTTTCTGTTCAAAATTTTCAGCACAACTAGCAGTATCCTGTGAAATATTTATAAAAATCAAAGAATATTCAAAAATAAACTTAGTATGAATTTAAATCAAACATTATCGAAACTACTCACAACAGCAATCGTAATTGCTAGCATCTGTAATTATAGAGAAGGTTATATTGGTGTCTAATTTTGTCAAACAAAAATGTATTCACTAACAGGTTAGAAGTTTGTCGAAAAGAAGTAAAAATTGTTTACATGAGGCCATTGAGTAACTATTTAAGAAAAAATTTTTAGTTCAAATTTACAAGGCATGCTAGTATGAATAAAAAATAAAAATTGAATTTGTTGTAAAAAGTAAAAAAGAGGAGGAACAAAAAAGTAAAAAATAGAAAAAATTTTTACAAGAAATAAAATACTGAAATATTAAACTGTCACAAATATTTTTTTTTCTGCACTTTTCAATCCAAAAATGTAACAAGAAGGATGAAGCAAAAGTTTTCATTGCAATATTTTGACAATCTGCACCAATTCGAGATAGACTAATGTTTTTTATGTCATTTGAATTGCTTTCATTAAAAATAGGACACGACTGAAACAAAACTTTTAAGAAAGCAAAGTATGCGCATTCCTTTTTGGGTTTTTTGAATTTTACAAAATGACGAATTAAAAGAACAGAATATATGGAAAATACTTTAAGGAATATCAAGGAGAATTTAATGAAAACTTTAAAACTAGACAAATTTAATCTGCTAAATTTCCGAGTATAAAAAAACTTGCGATTTTTTGAAAAAAGTAGAATACTTCAATTTGAAGTATAGTATGATGTACATGTATAACTAACTTTCTAATCATTTAAAGCAGTGCTTAATAAATTTGCTACTTGTCAGAAGAAAGAACAACATTTAACTAAAATAAATCAATTTATGTTATAAAAAACAAAATGCTATGAATATATTGCAGCAGATGGTATTTACAAAAAGAGTTTTCAGAAGCCATTTCATGTTTCTACAACAAAAATTTCCATTCTGAGCTCTCTTTTCGCTTATTCAAATTACTAAACACAATGATTATGAACTGAGCTGACATAATTTTCTTCTTGCAAATTAAATTTTATTTCCATGAAAACATAAAGAAATTGGTTTAAAATTGGGTATAATCGTGAAGATTCGTGGGCAGATTTGGGAAGGAATAAAATAAAAATGGACAGAGTTCATCGAAATAAGCGTTTGCAATGAGTATGGTTTCTTTCACAATTATTTCAAAAGTGCTTATTATATTAATTTCCAAACCAGTTCACGTAAATAGTACAAATAAAAGTAAAAAATTAATAGTTTTATGAGTATATCATTAATAGCTTTGAAAAAAAGTATAAAAATTTAATTACCAAATTTTGCATTTTTTTGTGAATATCTTTAAATTTCATGAACTTTGATTAGTTTAAGAGAATTTTTACTGTTTTCAGTCTTTTGCAATATATTTTGAATGTATAAGAATGAAAAAGGTTTACCTGAATAGGGTTGGTTGGCTGGTTGTTGAAAACTTTCGAATTTTCGACTCCAAATCTTGACATACACTTCCTGAGTGCGATAAAGATGAATTGTTACCGCGACTACGGGACAGCTGGAAAGGTTTTCCAAATTGTCATATGTATTTCCGTGGGAGATAATTATTTAGTTTTATTCAGAGTTTTGCAAATATTGAAGTGCGCAACTTAATTTTTGTAACTAAATTCAAATTAGTTGGACAAGTTACAAACTGAATATACAATATAAATCAAATGAAATTGCTGCAAATAAAAAGCAGTTTGGCATTTTTATGCGAGAAACTGCTGCATGTTGAACATAAATAAAGCTTTCAAACTTTAAATTTGAATTTTTAGTGTTTTATATTAAAATATCCATTTTGTTGCTTCTAATTTCTGAAATCATCCACGTCATGCAATTATAAAATGAATATTCAAATGGAAAACATCATTAATAAATTTTATTTAATATGACAAACAATGACAAGGTTTAGATGAACAGAATTTCTTCTACGAAGTTTCATTTTTTTTTTCTTAGCAACTCATTCTTCAGCTTTTCACTTAATTTTTCATTCTTTCTAGAAGGCTACTATCAAGTTTTTTTTCAATTTCAACTGCATATACAAGATTGAAAACGTTTAGCTCTGGAAACACTATCTAGTCAATAAAATTTCAAGTTTTTGAGCAATGAAAATTTGAATTAAATCGAGTCCTTCAGAATATTTAAAGTTAAATTCCCTTATTATAGACAACACAAAATTTTGAAAATAAAGTCAAAAAATTTTTGTGAAGATCATCATTTGCAGCAGAGTTAGTCATAAAAGATGAACGATTACTTCCAATTCTTCGTTTCAGAAAATGGCATGGTCAGTGGAAATAAAAAAAGTTCAAAATTATCTTAATCGTTTCTGAAGAAGACAGGATCAGGAATTCTTTTCTAAATCATTGAAACCTCAAATTTTTTGGATGGAAATTTTATTGCTTAAAGTAAGTGAAGTTTGGAAAAATAACTTCAATATTTCGGTTGAGAGATAACTATTTTGCTCTGCTCACTGTATGAGCTGCAAGATTACGTTGATATAATCAAAACCGGAAGCTACTAATAAGACAGCAATAATTCATTTTATTCTTCGATGATCAACAAGAATAATGTCACTGGCGAAAAGACTGGACTCGATAACATTCATGAAATTATCAGAAATAGACACGCTTTTGATTAGATTTTTAAATGGAATAATATTTTGAAGAGCAAATTGTATTCCAAGCGCTAATGAATAGGTATCAAAAAAGTAATGAACTTGAAATGAGAATGTAGTTTTGATCTTTAAAAAATATCAAAGGTATTCATTCCAGTGTTTGTCATTAACAGATGCACATTATCATTTTTTAGTTAAATAATGAGTCCAAAACTCTTTGAAGTGACCGAAAGAGTCCAAACAACTTCATAGAGTAAAAATATTGCTGTGATCTACATATTTGGAACCTAAAGAGCTTATTACAAATCTCTGTTGCTTTCATTAAAAATCTGTCTCTTTCAGTGAAGATTTCAGCACCATAATTTTTGAGTGATCTGATATGATTAAAAATATGAAACTTATTTAACTGATCAAATTTTAAGCAAAGTGTTAAAAAATTTTGCATCTAGTAACGCTTTTTTAAAATAACTTTCCATTTTGCAAAGAATGAGTTACAATGCTTGACTAAGCATCCAATTTATTCAACCATTCATACTCAGTTGTAAAAAACATTATTTGCGGGAAATAAGTGGAACATAGAAAAGAAGCAGTTTGAAAAGCAAGTCCGGAAAAGCAGAATTCGTGTACTACTGCAGATGTGCCCCTAAATGTCAGCAACATTCTCAGAATAAGTATTCTCAAGTTTGAATATTTGAGAAAAAAGTTCACGTTTTACTTTTATTTGTGCGATCAATTAATTTGGAACTTGCATTTTTCTTCGTTTCTAAATTCTTTGAAAAGCTCTTCGGCCAATTAACAGCTTTATTTTTACGAAAAAAAAAAACAAATTTTCACAAAAAGTCAAGCATATGTTAACGAAGTAATAATCTAGCTTTGCTGTAAAGCAGACAGTCATAATAATGAAAAACTCAAAAAAAAAAAGCAAGATTGTTAGATTTTTATTTGTTTGTAGCATTTAATTTCTTGCAACTGACCCGTACAAGCACATACCTCGTGATGGTGGTGTGAAAAGTTCTGAATTCTTATGCGAAACTCGTATTAAAAGAATTTAATGGCGATGGAAAGAGAAGCCACATCACGTATAATAAATGATCGTAACTCATGCAAATACAATCACACAATGCTCACTTTGATTAATTAGAAACTTGAGTGGATATATATATCCACTCAAGCCTCTCATTAATCAAGTGAATATATATGTAGTATATATGGAATATGCGGTCGATCCGCTTTTATTCTGATTGCAGTTCGCACTTGCGTATTCATTCTGATCTCAACATTCTCATTCGCTACAAGCTCCTGAACAGACAGAATGGCTTCGTAAGCGCGGGAATGCTTTCAGAACTTCTTGCAAAGTCCCAACTTAGGATCGTAGAACCTCATTGTGTCTTCTAGTATAGTCATGATGTAACATTTTTTCGCACTGCGTTGCTAGGTGGTGGTCCACTGTGTTCACACGTTCCCCACATCGCCACAATGTTGGAACATACGTTATATATATATATATATATATAAAGGAATGATAAAGTATAATAGCAAAAGATTGATGGCCTATCATTAAAAGAGCCATACGGTCAACCATCGTTCCATATCTTGCTATAACCTTTCAAGAAGTTCAATCAACTTCACATTCTTTAGTGCTCCAATGCAACGTATATGAACCAAAGTGAGTGCACTAATTATATGCAAGTTTAGGTATATTTCTTTCATTACGGACTTAAGTACACGAGCAACGATGCATTTACACGAGCAACGATGCATTTCAAGTATACTGAGCGTCTGACTGAGCAAACGTATTTTCCATATATTCGAAAATTATTTTTACACATTTTGACACTGGCTTGTCTATACAAGCATGAATAGAAATCTATTTATTTGAACTGTTCGAAATTTAGAAGTGAAAAACAAAAAGTTTGAAGACACTAATAGATGAAATGTAGTAATAGATAATTAATTCAAATCATCACTTTTTAGAGATAAGTTAAAAAATGCAATCTTTTATTGAAGGAACCTGAGAAGTATTTAGAAGCAATAAAACAAAATTTTTAGTATCTCAATCAGATTGAATGCTCAGAAACTGAATCAATACTACCACTAATGCATCTGTTATGTGCAGAAGAGAAAAAAGCATAAATGAGGGGAAATTGATTAATTTTTATGGAAGATTACGCAAATTTACTCAATGAATGCACTGGCGGTTACGTTATGAAATAAGTGACTTTCGGTTTCAATTTCTGAAATAAAATCAATTTCAGGCAAATAACTGTTGAGGAAAATATATGAGCATAAGAATAAATTAATAAAAATTATTTTACAAACATATTATTACATCATAAATGAATATTAAAGGTCTGTATGAAACGCGAAATCAAAGAACGAACCATTATTGTTTGCTTGCACAATTAAAAGTTACGCTTAATAAAGTTAAAAAAATAAAACTTCCTGGCAAAGTTTGTAAAGAAAAATATCATTTCATGAAGGCAGAAGCAGTGCATTATCGGTGATGGATGTAAAGGGTCCTGATGAGCTCTATAATGACATTATATGATGAAAATAGTAAAAGAAACAATGATTAAAGGAAGAATGAATGGATGCTGTGACACAACAATGATAAGTTAAACGATGGAAAGTTTGCAAGTGGAAGAAAACTGAATTACCAGGTAAGAAAAAAAATTCATGATTTCCTAACGCATATTATCTTACCAAAACTTTTACAGCAGTCAGTTCCACCGCCATTACCAGAATAAACTAGTAGTGTGGCAGAGAGTATGATGCTTGCGAAAATAAAATCACCTTCTACTTACTACATTATTGCTAGTAATATAATAGTCACTGCAAGGAAAAATAAATTAAACAGAATAAAAAAATTCTTAGTTTAAAATTTTTCTCAACTTTTTGTAGAGTTCTTGAAATTAAGCTGACAAAGGCCTAATTGAAAAAAAAAAAGTTCCCTGAAGCTGGACTAAAAGACTAAGAATCAGTGATAGTGACTTACCTTGGTTCTTCGAGGGTAATACAACGATCTCAGAACTTCAATTTCAAATTTGTACGTGATTTCATGAAAATGTGTTCAATCTTTTAAGCGAGAAAATATGTGGGATTGATGACATAGCAATAATATGAAAAATAAAAATTAGCACATATTTCTGTAAAATTTTTGCATGCAGAAAAGTGTAATTGAAGAAAATAGATATGGAAGCATAATAAGCCTAAAAATTATCAATGAAAAATTTTAGTTCTTTTGAAAAAAAACGGATAAAATAGAAAGAAGAAGAAGCTTTATTTTGGCAGTATTCCACAAAGTCATTTTAATGCATCTTAAACTAAAAAAGAAATAAAATTTGCCACAGGAACTTTAACAGTCTCAAAATCAACATAAAACTTGGAAAAATTGTCATTTTTTCCGTTTGAGTACACTACTAATCATTCAAAATTGAACCTTAAAATGAAATGAGAAAAAAGATTAGACATTTACCTCATTCAGTTAAGCATTAAATCAATGTTTTCAGCACTTTCCGTGCAAGAATAGATTAAAGCTGTAAGCAAATTTTAGTTTCAACTTAACTCAAAACTTTTCTAGAAACAGATGTAGTCAATGATCATACTTTTTAATTTCGACTTTGTTCACAAATTTCTTAGTGCCAATAAAAATCATTACCAAGTTTTTGACACTAATGGTTTTTAAACTAATTGCTTGTTTTCTTTTTTTTCTTGGCTTAATTATATAAGCATAAGGAAGACATTATAAATTAAAATTAATCTCTCCATTATTTATATGTCCCATTACCTGCATGTAAAATATAAAACATCCATCTAACTTGAAAAGTACTTGTTATAATCTATTCGCTGGCTAGCAAAATATTTATCAGTTATTTGCATACCATTCCTTGTTTCATTAAAAGTATTTTCAATATATTCCTTTCTTAGTATGCAGTAAACACTTATTTCAAACAAGCAAAAAGAAGCACATTATAATTTTTGGAAGCTAAAAATGCTATTTTTTTTATTCTTGAACAATTTTGTGTGAAACTATTAGCTAGAACAAATTCAAAATGCTTAGCTACTGTTATGCATTCGAAAATTTCGACAATTTTCGCTACCAATCATTTATCAAAGTGTGCTCGAGTTTTTAAGATATTCAAAGTCTAAAAACACGGCAAACATAATTTCAGTATTCCAACTTTTATGTATTTATTCTTAACCTATCTTAAGCACTTTTCGATCAGAAATTTTCGAATCCATGATTAGCTTTTCAGTTTCTACTATCAATTCGAAAGTTCGATGAAAATTTAATTAATTTAAATAGAAAACAAAAGATGCTCATTCTGCTCAGAAGCTTCCACTGTACTGACGTATTCATATATAATTGTGTCAACATAAAAGCACTTTCTTATTGAAATCAATGAATGAAAATTTTTTTCTCAAAAACTTTCATTTTACACGAGAAAAAATTTAATATCACTGATGACTGGGAATACTGTTAATAATCTTTCATCGTTTATTTTAATGTGGCAGATTTTTTGCCATTACATGAAAAAATATAAGAAAGAAAAGGGAGTTTTTTTTGCAAAAAAATTAGTAAACGAGAAAGCTAAAAATGTTGCAAGTGAAAGGGAAAAGCGTAGAAACTGAATTGAAATTAGAACATAAGAATGTAATAAATTTCACATATTTTTTCAGTTGTTTTCACGAAGCTTCTCAATTCCGCAAAATTTTCAGGTTCTGAAGGAAACGATCTTTCACTTTGACCGTTTCTATGCCAATCAAATGAACTACTGCAGTCCTTTTCTAGATTTCTAGTTAACTAAGAATTAGCAAGAGTTTGCAGAAAAGACGCAAAATAAATATTCCGTTTTTAATTCGTAAAATCGTACTACTTGAAGTGAGATAAACACAATTAAGCTCTAAATTCTATATCTATCTATATCTATGTATATATGTCCAGCATAATCAAGTAGCAAAAAGAGATTAAACAATTGAGGCCATGAGTCATAAACGTTATATTTACAATAAATAGATAGATTACTTGCAACAATTATCAACAATAAAAGGATGAAGGTAATAAAAAGATTGCTTGACGAAAGAAATATTTTCATATTTTAAATTCAAAATATCAGGTCTTAATTTATATACTTATATATTTATTAGAATGCAAGTAGAAAATGAGAGAAAACTTTACTTAAAAATTTCAATTGAGCACTGTTTTACGCAACTGTATGCGCATTTTTCAAAATTCGGCCAGTGATCGAAAGGTGTGAAAAAAAAGACCAAGCAACTAAGTACCTACAGATATCACTTATAAATAAATATTAAACAAAGTTCTCCCCATTTTTTATATTAACAAGAGATTCAGCAAAGTTCTCCCCATTTTTTATATTAACAAGAGATTTTAGAATAGTGTAGTATTTGTTATTCTGAAAAGTAACTTTATAATGAATGACTTACGGATGCTACACATGTTTGTATGATTTTGCCAAGATATGCTCGGAAGTTCGCAAATTACTTTTACACATATTTTCTTTGCTGTAATCACTCGAGAACACCCATCATGTAAAAGTAAATAGATGATCAATTTTAATGATAATTACACTGTTTTGCCTTATTTTTTCCAAAAATTCTAATTGGTGCACTGAATTTAGGTTTGTGATTTGAAGCTATTTTCCATTGCTGAATGATATGACAATTTTTGGAGATTTTATAAAGTTGCTTTTTATCACACGCAAAGACGTCCATAGAATTGTATTGTTTTGAATGTCATTTTTCATCCACTGATTTTCATTTATAAATGAGAGAAACTTTTATTTGGAACATTCCAAAATGAACTTTTTTTAAATAAATGCTTGAATAAGCTATAAATTTTGATGAACAAGGATTAATTACATAATTATAGAACTTAAGCTACGAAATATAAGAAGACATCTCTAGAGAAACATAGTTTTGAAAAATGATTTTTTAAGTATCAATTAACTTTGGTAGCAACATTTAGCACCAAATATTTCTTAAGCACCCTATATTATAAATACAAGACAACTGATTTTCTTTTACACTTGATTTAAAACTTTTTAATTTACTTATGCTTTATTTCTACAACTTATTAAAATATTCACACATTCTCTACCAATCATTCACGGATGTTTCTGTGATTAATCAATCACAATTCTTATTTACTGACAAAAAGTAATCGCTACATTGCAACTTCTCGGCTTTCAGCAAGTGAATAATAAACTTTCATTTCATTCTTGACAAGAAAAGTAGTAGCTACAAACCCAAATTCTTTTTAATCACAAAAAACAATTCTATTGTTTATTTTTGACATAAGAGTTCGTTAGGAGAGGAAAAAATTAGTGAATAACTCTGAGTATTTTTATGAAAGTAACAAGTAATATCCCAACCATTTTAATTAATAAATTAATGGTTCTGATGCAATGTTTTTCCCAATTATTAAAATTCTTTTTCTTAACGTTGACAG